GAATGAGCTGTTGTAGATAAGACCAGAGAAAATAGAAGCCGTCTTCCTCATGGATCAATGAAAGAGTGGCATTAGTGAGCATATAACTTGGTAACAGGATATACATTTAACAATCTGATTACTTTAGTATGATGGCATAATGTTGAGTCCTTGGATAATAGAGCCAGTTTTAAATATGGAAGTAGCAGCATCATTTCCAACATTTCTCAAGAATTCTGTTTATTAGTTTGTTTCATTTGTGAAGCAGTAATTTTGAAATGACAAATTAACAGAACTGAGGATTATCTTGGCAAACATAGATTATGACTAACACTAATAGGGAAATAAGTGCCATCAAAAGTATGCGTCCATAAAAGATCAACTAGCAAATTCACACCAGTTGCTCAATCCGTCATCATTCTATTATGCAGGAAGAACTGCACGTCCGAGTCATCCAATAAGGTTAGCAGACTTCTAGATGTTACCACTGCTAGACTTAGGCTCGGCTGCAAGTACCCCTGGGAGTTTTTAACACATGCTGATGTAGATTTGACTAAATGTAAACTCTGTCAGCAGAACTATTCGCATACTTTGCGTTATTATATAATGGTATGTGAAAAATCGCGAAATTCGGAGATAAAACCATCAATGGAGTCCAAGAAATGTGTAAGTACTTCATTCATAATGATGTGCTGCCAGGAATCTTAGCAAAGTATCCAAAATTTGCTTACTGCAGGTAATGCATGCATATGACTAATGCTGCCCCCCCCAAAAAAAAATTGGGTGGGTGGGTGTGGAGCAAGACTAATAACTGTGTGCAACCCGTTCTCGCACTTTCTTAGTCAATATTGACTTATTAAATACGTGCATATGTGACATACTAAACATACTACTGTAGTTTACCTTGAAAAGCTTCATAGAAAACACCGACCTTACCTAACCTTCTTAATATGTTAAGATAAGCATCTTATTGCTTCGTAATTACAATTATTACTTAACCTATTATAGGTATAGGTTAAGTAATACCTATTATAGGTATAGGTTAAGTAATACCTATTATAGGTATAGGTTAAGTAATACCTATTATAGGTATAGGTTAAGTAATACCTATTATAGGTATAGGTTAAGTAATAATTGTAATTACGAAGCAATAAGACGCTTATCTTAACATACTAAGGTTAGGTAAGGTCGGTGTTTTCTATGAAGTTTTTCAAGGTAAACTAGTATGTTTAGTATGTCACATATGCACTATTTAATAAGTCAATATTCATTATACGAAAGTGCAAGAACGGGTTGTTGTGTGACTCACCATAGATGTAGGGCCTTGTGAGCCTCTTGTTGAAATCACTCGATACAAAAAGATTATCGATGTGTATATGTATTTGCCTAGTTGTACTTCTAGGAGTTGATCTTTGCTCTTTCTGCCCGCCTCTCAACTGTTAATCAGTCTACTGTTTCTAACTACTAACTAAATTTGTTGTTTTTGTGTTTTCTTATACTGCTGGCATATACATTGATTAGCATATAATTTACACAACTGTACAGGCTCTCCAATAGTTATGAATGCAGTAAATGCTTCTAATTTTTCATTACTTCAATTTGGCAAGACTTGACACATTCATATTACAGGTTTGGCTTAGCCATGCAGTGACTCCATTGCTCACCACTTTAGGAAGTGGTCAAGAGTCCTGCGATAAGGGACCAGGGGATTGAACTAGTGACCTTCAACCTTCCTGTCCCCACTAGGGAATAGTGGCCTTCAGGAAAAAAAAAAAACTCATTTCTCCCAACGAAGAGCAGAATTGACCTTGGATGTGGAGCCCAAACATACCCATTACACAGATAAAGGTACTGTAGACTCATGGGTATGTGTAATGTTGTAGGAGTAAATAAGAAAGATAAATGGCAAATGGTGAAATAAGGAAAATTCTGTATTAAACCTAGCATATCAAAGTTGAAATAATGTGAGAATCAAGTTAAGGAATAAGAAATTGACAAGCCAGAATTAGGCTCTGAATTTTTCCTAGGGAGAAGGAAATAGCATTGTATACCAGTTCCATTCACCTGGACTGAACTGGTCTGGTCTGCATACTAGTGATTAGTTGGTGACCATGCCTACTTGTAACTGATATTTAATTGAGGGAGACTAGGTTGGAGGGGGACTCTCACTGGGGGAGAGACAGGACGAAGACAGTCCCAATTAATTAGGCTGTAAAAGTTTAAGTGTGGTGAATAGCTGAAATACATAGGAAATACAAAGTGCAGCATTGTTGAATGAATGTATGTTGTAATAGTTAGGAATATGCATATCTTTACATAAAAACTAAATATACAATATAATTTTAGTTATTTAATTAAATCAAGTTACACGGATTTAAAAATAGTTCATTATATTCATTTTAGACATCAGGTAGAGCTTTTGGCTTTACACTAGTGGCAGGTTAGTTACAGGCTATTCATGCCTGTTCCACTCTTGGGTGGCTTATTCTTCATCAATGGCATGTTTACATGGTCAAGGGAATCTCATTTTCCAGAGACAAGGTGTCAAATGACTCGAGGCTTTTCAAATAAGAACAGTAAACTTGTGAATCTTCATCGCAATAGGATCAAAGGCAGGCAACTCAGGACAGGATGAAGTGATTAGATATGCAGTATAGATGGAAAGAGGGGAGTCAGAGGGCATTTGGTTTAGGCCTCATTGTATGTAGAGATGGACGCTGATTGTGACATGGCCATAAAACAGTGATTTCTAGCATAAATATCTTTGTAAACCTCGCTTCCAATGTTTGCAAAGTGTATAGGAAGAGGCCCAGAATTTGAACTAGGGACAGGAAGGAGTTGGAAAATTAGCATTGTATACCAGTGATTAGCTGGGGCCATGCCTACTTGTACTTGGTATTTAATACAAAGAAACTAGGTTGGAGAGGGAGAATTTTTCAGGAGAGGCAAAGTGGGAAGATGGTAGTCCTTGACTTGGCAGAGATGGGTAGGGTCATCACTCCTACCTAGTGGCTAATGTGGTGTGCTGGCTACAAGTGCCACTAGCCCAGGTGAGGAGCTGTATAATGCAGCGAGTATTATAGAGTAGTATTTTGGTTTCCTTTTCAAGTAAGTAATTAATTATCAAAAGAAGGCACCAAACCGGGAAGGCTATGTAGCACCATCATGTGCGTGGAATAATCAGAGAACGATAAACATCACCAAGGATGCCAATACAAGGACAGAAACGCACGAGGCGAACGATATCAATAGTATCCGATTCACCAAGAATTCTATCGAGGGATAAGTGACCGCGAGGGACATTCGGAAAGCAAGACACGCGCTCGTCCTGGAAGTCAGGACATTCAACAAGGATATGCACAACTGTAAGAGGGACAATGCAATATGGACAATAAGGAGCTGGGCGGCGCTCCATTAAGTGACCGTGAGTTAAGCATGTACGGCCAATACGCAACCTTACCAGAGCTGTTTCCCACCACCAGTTATGGTGGTGGGGGCCTCGTAGCCTGGTGGATAGCACGCAGGACTCGTAATTCTGTGGCGCGGGTTCGATTCCCGCACGAGGCAGAAACAAATGGGCAAAGTTCTTTCACCCTAAATGCCCCTGTTACCTAGCAGTAAATAGGTACCTGGGAGTTAGTCAGCTGTCACGGGCTGCTTCCTGGGGGTGGAGGCCTGGTCGAGGACCGGGCCGCAGGGACACTAAAGCCCCGAAATCATCTCAAGATAACCTCAAGATGGTGGTAGGAGGAAGGCCATGGGAACAATGCTCTTAAGAGTACACAGTTTATTACCTGCAACAGGTAAGGTAATTATCAAAAGAAGGTACCAAACCGGGAAGGCTACCTGCAACAGAAGACCAACAACCCTGCCAACGGGCAAGGATGGAGCAATGAATAACTGGGTAGATTTCCTTTTCAAGTGTTGAGCAAGACCCTTCCTCAGCTCAAGAGATTTGTTCTCAATGTCTTCAGTTTCTCAGTTCAGTACTGTATTATAGTTTTGTATCTGAAAGATTATGCTCCACGGTGATCATATTCTGTCTAACCTGGTGTGCACTCGTCATGTTCACTTCAATGTCATTGAAGGGAGCATTATTGAACTAAATAGTTTATGTGATGCACCCTCTGAGTTTCTCAAGAGCTGAATCAGCTAAACACAACATAATTTTGGACCAGCCTACAACACTAATCTGAATATTATTATAGGTTGGTCAAAAATTGCTTGTAGCCAGCACACCACATTAGCCACTACGTAGGTGTGACGACCCTACCCATCTCTAACCAAGTTGGGGGACTACCATCTTCCCACTTAGCCTCTCCTGAAAAATTCTCCCTCTCCAACCTAGTTTCTTTGTATTAAATACCAAGTACAAGTAGGCATGGCTCCAGTTAATTTCTGGTATTTCTAGCTCCAGTTAATTTCAGTGCTAATATTCCAAGTCCCTCCTGTCCCTAGTTCAAATTCTGAACCAACAGTGACTTTGTGGCAAGTGTGTAGGGAAAATGAGGCCCATCTCCACTGGGCATAATTTTTTTGTCTTAGACTTCAGATGTTTATGACCTTTGTCTTCAAGTCACAATAGTCCTGTTTCAAGCCCTTGCACCAAATACCACTCCTGTCCTGAACATCCTGGAAGAGGCCCTAATTCCACCTGGGTTAAAAGACTTTAGACTTTTGAGACATTTCAGACCAGGCACAGGATTTAAGCATGATGAATCATGAGCTTGGTGGTTTGAAATGTTTCAAGTGAGACCAGTCTAAAGAAATCTATTAACCCAAGTGGAATTAGGGCCTCTACCAGGATGTTCAGGACAGGGTGATATTTGGTGAAAGGGCTTGAAACAGGGCCATTGTGACTTGAAGACAAAGGTCATAAACATCTGAAGTCTAAGACAAAAAAAAATATGCCCAGTGGAGATGGGCCTCATCTACAGGCTTGCCACAGTCTCTGTAGGTTCAGATTTGAACTATGAATGGGAGAAGGTATAAATTAGATTGGTATACCAATGTAAACATGCTTAGTGACTTATACCAGGACAATTTTAATGGTAATAGTGCATTGTTTTTAAAATACTCTATTTAACATTAATTTTGGTTAGCCATTGTTTGTGTAACTGATGGAAGAGCTATCTGGTTAATTTTCACATTCATAATAAATTATTAAACAATTTTAGAACGTAATGTATGGAAATTATATACAAATCTGAAGAGGGTCTATGTACATAATTCATACAATTATAATAAATATCAGACATGTTAAGTGAACACTTTTCGTCGTGAGGTATTAACACATTTTCACAGCGACTGCTGTACGTATGCATAACTTTGGAGCGATGACATCATCCAAAATGAAAGACTCCTACAGAATGGTCCATGAAAAGGAATCATTGTGACATCTCTTGTATCCAGGTGATGAACCATAAGAAAAGTCAATTAATTTTGGCGAGATTATCATATCAGAATCTTCATCGCGTTGTGTTTTTGAGGTTACTACTTCTGGAAGACCATCAAATTCTCTGTAGTGGTCTGAAATGTATACCTTTGATCTGAAAAAAAAAATAAAATGTAAATTTAATTTTAGCATCACTGGCACGGCTAATCTAAACAATGAAAAAGAAGTGCTTTGGTGTTTGATTTACAGCAAATAAGGAAATATTCACAACCAACTATGAACTTCTTAAGGGTCAACATTACTAAAGATCAATATTTTCAGATTTGTACATCTTTAAACATTAAAAATCAAACATGTTTCTGATAAAGACTATATTCTTTGCAAATTATTTTTATGTATATAATTCTTATTAGAAATTAAATGGCATCAGCTGTAAAGCCTGAGGTGTATTGGGAGAAAATTCTGGCATTTTTTTTCTGTAAAAACTTATCTTGAGCTTTGAATTTTCACACCAAATATGCAGTTACAAATCCTCAATGCTGTATCCTTTTTAATTATGACTAAATATTTTCAAATTACTTAAAAAATCTGTTTTGTGTTTTCATAAAAAAAAAAAAATTGGCAACTTGCCATTATTGCAAGATTTTCTTGCTACTAAAGAATACTCAACTTGAGATTTTCTACAAATAAAGTCCAAAATGTAGTTAAATATCTAAACTTTAAAATGCCGAAAATATAAATATGTAAAAGAGGCACACATCCAGGATTGTAAGTACTGTATAGTCCTGGTTTAATCTCATATTCAACATTTTAGAAGTCAAATTAAAAATCAGCAATAAGAATCATTAAAGAACATATAATTGCAAGTCTTTCTGGACAAGTTCTTTTTCTGTCTTCTTTGTCAGACAGTAAGGTCTGACAAGGTCTGACAAACCCCACACTGCAAGGATGAAATAAGTGAACAAATGTACTAACAAATCTACTTGTTGGCATTGTGTGCAACTACAAAATACTTTGCTGACAATGTTAAATTATTTTCTCATCAGATTTGATCACCCAAATTAGAATGAGAGCAATATAAATTTTTACCACTTTAAAAATTAAAAAAAATAGTCGAGTAACTCACCTGTGCAGAAGATATGGGTCAAATGGGAAGAACATATCGAGGGTTGAGTTTCCAATAAATTTTCCTCCATCCCATCTTGCAGAGGGACCCCTTAATCTTTTATTATTCTCCATAACAGTATAGCAGTATGCCAGTTGGAAGTGACGTGTTACAGATGCAAAATTGCTGACAACCGGAGAGGCACATACACGCAAGGGATTCAACTGGCTCATTACAAGCCGCTCCAAGTTGAGACTGCGAGCTTTAACCAGCCCTGTAAAGAAAATTTGCATGCTAATAAATAAATATATTTACCCCTAAATCAGTATTATGTATGTCCCAAATAAAAGAGCACTGTAAATAGATACTGTATGATCAGAGCTTGATGCATTAATCTATATCTAAAAAATTGTAGCGATATATCCTTCATGATCAAATCTGCTATGGCTTTTGAACACAAAGGTGTTAGTATTTAAGCTTTTATAACAACTTTCTCTGAAAATATTTATATATGGTAATGCATGACTTACCAGTAGAGAGAACCCTTGTTATTCATAAAAGAATTTCCCAGCGAAAACATTAAGGACAATATTTGTGAATTCAAAACCCTGAAGTTATGTGAACAAGTAAGACAACACACACCAGACCTTCAAAAATTCACTATTAATGAGGATAACTAACACATGCTAGGCACCTTTTCAAACATGCACACTGCTGAAGATTACTGTATAAGAAACAAACCCACTATTAAAGATCCATAAGAACACAACCCGTTCTCGCACTTTCTTACAGTCAATATTGACTTATTAAATAAGTGCAAATGTGACATACTAATTTATTGTGAATATTTTAGTTTACCTTGAAAAGCTTCATAGAAAACACCTACCTTACCTAACCTTAGTATGTTAAGATAAGCATCTTATTGCTTCGTAATTACAATTATTACTTAACCTATTATAGGTATAGGTTATAACTAATAATAATAATAATAATAATAATTTATTTAAGAAAAGTACATACATAACTCAAGTGATTACAAGATTCAGGAACCTGCTCCCAGTACCAGAATGCAAACACTACAATAACTTCCCAGAACCAATGTCGGCCATCGTAAATGAGGCCACCAATATTGAAGTTACCGGTAATCACCATAACTCCGTCCACCACATGCAGACGGTGAGTCACAGTAACGTGGTTGAAGATGTGATCACCAGCCCACACACCAGAAGATGGAGAAATGACAACTTTTCGATCCGTCCTGGACCATTATGAAGTTGTCTGGTTGGCACACAGCTTTATCATGGTCTAGAATGGATAGAAACATCTTCCTTTCTCCATCTTTAGTGTGGCCTGGTCATCCGTCCACCACATACCCCATTTGTGATGTACAGTAAGAATAATAAAACCATAGTAGATGGACCACTTAACTTCCTCCCTTTTCTCTTACACAAGCCTAAGTTGAGACAGCCTTTTCCCAGTGAGGGACAACAGAAAACAAGGGGTGCAAGTTGGAAACACAGATGAACCAGAGAAATGTAAGGAAATACTTGTGTGCAGTGAGTAGAAAAACAAGTCATTTGAACTTGAGCTAATGGTGGCGGAAAAAATAGCCAATTACAGCTGAGTCAAGGTATAAATGAGCAGGTACAATAGATACAAGATGGGGCTCTAGAGCTAGATCATGCTTCACATAGACAACTAGGCAGAAAAGTGTTCAACCTAATTTGGGCAGCTATTGTTAAAATTGACCTTTTACCTCTTCTTGATCCAAGCTAAAAAACAATGTCACTGTTGAAAAAAGCATAATGTCACTGTTGTATGTTTTTTTTTTTTTTTTTTTTTACAAAATCTTAATGACAAACTTCGAGGGGCAAATGAAAACAGACAGACTCGAGTGATGCAAATTAAAATACCTTTTTGTCTATACAGTTGACGTAATAGCTGGAAATTTTCTAGTTCCTTGGTAAAAGATGTACATTAAATAAATGACTGAAGGCAAAATTTAAAAATTGACAAAAATGCAATATCCTACAGGAACAAAATCGATTAAGCTACAATAGTAAACACAGTCTCACACACACAACTTACTTTGGCTATTTTCTGTATATTCTCGATGCCTGAAGGTAAATACATAAAATATGGTCTGGCAGGCATAGTAGAAAGGTGTGTGAAGCTGTGACCCTTCATAGTTTGATGCCCAATTACTTTCCTGAGGATTTAGAAAATACATTAAAAGAAAGTGACCAACAGTCAGCTAAAAAAAAAAAAAAATGAAGGAAACAAAAAGAAAGGTCTTAAGAAGTTATACTTCTTGACACTTTCTCTTAACACCTTAGGTTCTGTACGAACTTAACTGGAACCTAACACGTCAAACTGGAATCTTTGGAAATACCCACTGACATCAGGCCGAGAGAGAGAGTGAGTGTGTGAGTGTGTGTGTGAGAGAGTGAGCGTGTGTAGACATTCTGTTCTATTTACTCAGCCATGACATTTCACATGGTTAAACAAAATCCTCCAAATTTTTTAATAAGCTTTAAAATTGGCCAGAAGAGGCTATAAAGTCAAATTTTATTAGGAATCTTTCTTATTACCTTAAATATTTTAAATTTCAAGTTAATAAACATATACAGCACAAAATATTACAAAGCCACTTACAAAGAATAAAAATATACCCAATTCTAATGCATGAACAAATATTGGTTCCACTGTTAATAAAACAATAAAGGAAACATACCTGGTTGTCAAGGTAAGTGTTACACCACGTACAAATTATTTCCAAGCACGAATGGACAACATCAAATGGTATAAATTTTCCTCTGGCTAATAGACTGCCAATATAAGCCATAGCATTTTGTCGTACATCTCGTGAACAGTTGGGATCTTCAAATTTTTTAGTTCTTAAAAATTCTAGAAAGTAAGTAGCCAAACCTGGCCGCAACGCAAGGAGATAAAACATTAGAAACTGAACGTAAGATGATGCCTCAACAATCAAGATGGTGCGAGAGAACACTTCTTTTAGTTCCGTATAAAGAAGCTTCAGTGCATCTAAGTTATGTTTACTCCCACGACATTTACATCCAGCTATTGTGTTACCACCACTTAAACTGACTGATCCTGCCTGGCACATTTCCGGTTCATTCTGCAATGGGTCTGGTGGAAATTTGTAATGGAAACATTTCTTGCTTAGTTCTGTGGGTTTTCCGGACACATCACTGCCATGGCAAACATCGTGAACATATTGGAACATTATACACATTAAAACATCCAATGTATTTCCATTTTTATGGTTCAGGATATGAGCCAATTCTTTTGTAATGCTTGGCGAGTCATTTGCAGTCTCTACTTTCTTATCCTTCGACTCCTCCAGTTCCTGAAAATACAAAAATGCATTTTCTTACTTATGAATCAATATGATTATGTACAGTCAATGAAAGAAATGTTGCTTGTAATAATAATAATAATAATAATAATAATAATAATGTATACAGTGACACCTCCAAAATACTTATGATACTGGTTGAGACCCAATCCATAGTTTATGCCATTTAGATTTCCAGAAATTCCCCACTTTTATTTTTTTTAAGAACAATATTTTATAGCAAGTGATACATATAATATATATAAACACAAATAATGTATAAATAATAACTTGTGTATATACTTAATAATTACTTATTAAGAAATAAGTAAAGATAAGTGTTAGTGTTTGCACAAAAGATAAAATTTAATTTGACTGTGTACATGTATATATAACATTAATAATTGTGTAACTAGTGTCAAAAGAATGATATTTGCTTAGCTAAATGAACTAGAGGGTTCAGTTCCTGAACTGTTTATGTGCCTCTCTGGATTTTTTGAAGCTAAATCAAGTTGAAACTCTAGAGATAATTGCTATGAATAATTAATACTGCACACCCATGAAATATCAGTCACTATAAAATGTCAACTGTGGGGAAGCGGACTACTGAATGACTACTACTGGAGCTCAATGTCATTACAGTATACATACTGCTCTAGTGAAAGGCCTAGGGAGAGCCAAAATAGAAAACCTATGAAAACCAAATTCGTTTGAGACATACCATGGGAAACACTTCTTCGTCATCACTACCATCTTCCTCCTCCTCCTCCTCCTCGTCTTCCTCTACTGGGACCAACTCAGAGCGCGGTGTGTAAACGTCAAGTGTTGCCAGGCTGCAGACAACATATATACTCAATAACATAATGCATATTATGGGTTTTGTATTTTGAAAATGAAGAAAATTAGTCATATCTCAATAGTAGCGATCGAGTGACACATTCCCAGGCTAGCTTATCTCAAGTTATGAGCAGTGGTGTAATGAGTACAGGGTGCTGCCATGAGTACATGAAGCATAATGAATAAAGGATTATAATGAGAGAGTATGAGAACAGGTAGAATAATTACCATAGTGTAATGAGTACAGGAAGTATAATGAGAAAGTAAATACAGGAAATATAATTATCATAAGGGCAGTTGCAGGAGTTTTTATTCTCACAACCCGGCTTGGGAGGGATGCTTTGATGAGATAAGAGGAGTGGATGCTCCTAGGAGGGAGGCAAGGTGGGAGTTTGAGAGGCTCTGGAGAGAGGGAGGTGGGGGAGGCTCCATAAAAAAAAAGCAAGAGGGGAGGCTACACACAGGAAGAAGGGTCTGCCCTATATAGTTAGACAAGCAATTATCTGCTGTATCATTTTAATAAAACTTAACATTTTACTATAAACATTACCTTTAATATCATTAACTATTTGATCTACTAAATGCATCCTATTTTTTTCCATTAAAAAATTAACAAATGACCATCTCATCTTCCAATGCACTCAATACCTGCAAATATCTTGACTATCACTCCATTTTTCATGCAGGTGGATCCTTGTGGTTTGAATGCATATTTAAATGGATAAGGTGCATAAACCAGTCTGATGTCACTGGTGTGAGGAGGAAATTTCTGAAAACCAAGGGAAAAGGTGACGGCTCTAGATCTGCATGTGAACGAGATGAGCGGCACAACGACAGTCAAAATCCTGAGTGAATGACTGTTATAAGGGAAAGCACAGGGAGCTCATGTGGAGACTGCAGCAGCACCAAGCAACTGTTGTAGATCAGGTTTTTGTAAGAAACAGCACAACTCCCTCCCCTACTGTAGCCAGCTACCCAAGGATTTCATATACTTGATTATAAACAAGTTTAGTGACAGTAATAACTAATGATGCATATTGGCTAAATGGCATTGGATTTCTTGTTCTTTCATGCGGTGAAATGAAGGCAAGAGGTGACAACTGGCATTCACCATTCACTAATTTTCCTACATATTACACATATAAAGTTCTAGACTGGCAAATACAGTACCAGGGAAGCCCAGGAAGGCCACCCTCTATATTAACCACATCTACTCATTATGAACTCTTCAATTTGATATCTGATCCTTCTAGTAATAAATAACAGAACATGCATTCATACTTACTTGTTAATTATAATTTCAAGTAGAGATATTCTTAAATGTGGAAGACACCTTGCCAAGAGTAATAAGTTACGTGTATAAACAGCATGTTGATGAACATGTTTCGTGAAATAGGGAAAGGATTTTCTTGCAAGCGCAACCAAGTTGTCTCGAATCCTGCAAAAAAATGGCAAAAAATCTAAATTACTGTATCAATTAAAAAATGTAATAAAATAATGAAAAGCAGCGTGATAACATTTTATTCAGCAAACGAGCTATCTAATACAACAAATATAGATTTGATTTAAATAAATGATGCCGATTCAATGTAGGAACACTTTCTTATGAACTTACAAAGGCACGTGATCTTGAACTGCGACAATAGTAGACAAGATATGCCGGTAGCACTCCTCCTCCTCTGCACTCAGCAATCCTGCCTTCTCCAACAGAGTAGGATCACTCTCATTAACCTCTGAATTAAAATACATAAAGCAACCATTAATTTAACTGATTGCCATTTCCAGTAATTACTATTTTTGTAACTTACATACAATGACTACTACTATATTATCCAACCTGTCCTCTCATTTAATAATCACATTTTTAACACAATCGACCAATTGGTCCAAATTTCTGACTTGGTAAGGTGAAGTTATTTTTCACAACAGAATTTCTAAAAAACATATAAATATTAAATCTGTATCTACAGAGAATGAATGCCTGCCTAAGGTTGGAGGCTAGATACTTTGGGTGAGGCTAGCCCCACTTTGCAGGGAGAAAGGTCTGGGATATAGGATGGACATAGGCCTATCCCAACCAAAGTTAAATGCTTTAAGATATACAGTATTACAATTTATAGAGCCCCCCATGCAATTTTCAGTGTGAAATATTACATGTTATTCCCCTAGTTTTTAGTGACAATATATTCTCTGGCAGACCCATACAGTGGTTTCAGTGTTTCTCAATAATACATTTTCTGAGAGAAGGGAGGACAAAAGGGAGAAAGGGGGGGTGGGGGAGGGAAGAAGGGAGGGAGGACGGCAGGATGAAGGAGGAGAACAAGGTGAGGACCAAGGGGGAGACAGAGGGGAAAGAGACTTGGGTGCAAGTGAATACCCCTTCTTAGCAGCCTCCATGGTGCAGTGGAATGACACCCACCCAGCACTTAAGGAGCGATTTGGTCTGGGTTCATATCCTGGTCGGGGATGATTGACTAATCGCCAATCCTTAACTGTACACCTCTTTTCACCCAGCAGTGAATGGGTACCTAAACAATTTGGTGGGTCATATTCCAAGGAAAATTAAGATTAAGGACCTGCCAGAAATGCTATGATTGCTATTTGCTTTACAAGAATGATGACCAGACTATACATCAGAAGATGAAGAAAAGAAATGTTTCAGTCTGTCCTGGACCTTATCAAGTTGTCTCTCTCAAGAACTCACTTGTATATATAAATAAGAACTCTTGTATGTTCACGTTAATGTGATTTCTGTATTTTTGTAGCCAATTCTAACGTGTTTAATAAAATACTATATTAAAAATTATACAGTAATTACTAAAACTCTATTTTTGAACATGTAAGAAAACCATGCAAGGTCCATAAGAGCATACCTGGTATTAACAAAGTAAACAGGTGCTTAAGGACAAGATAAGCATAATAGTTGTGAGCCGAGACAAGGGTGGTGAAGAAGTCCTCGGCTGCTACTGCAACCTCCATTAACTTGGGCCTGAACCAAGGAATTTCCTGTCAACAAAATCAAAATTCATTAGGAAAAAAATTACCACCACACTACAAGAGCACGGGAATCTTTTATGAACGTGATCAACCCCATCCCCTAGAGCATTCGGAATATGTGGTCAACTAGCTCATCTAGTCAATGGTTTAAGCCTCAGAGCATGAAATATCAAATGATAAACCTGAATAGTTCACAGGCCTCACTTTAAATACTTTGAAAGTTCCAAATGCCCTTGCTGGGACTAGAACCTCTTGCCAGCAAGGGCAGTTGCAACATTCCAGTACAGTGTTTAAAGTGAGGCCTACGTACTATTCAGGTTTATCATTATACTGTATGTATTTAGAAATATAATTGATAGCTTCAATATAAGCATAAAATATCAGTAGGTAATTAACATTTTATTGTATTACAGCTAAAGATGGCAAACATGGAAAATAGCACAAGGTTACATGTGCTGATTAGTGCATTTGGTGGTACATTAACTATCTTTGTTGTCAGTAAACAAATTAAATTTGTATATATTGTATGTATATAAATTTGTATATATATGGCCTAGGCCATATATGTGAAGGATTCAAGTAACAAACACTGGTAAATTCTTTTTGAGGCCTGAATAGCCCAGGCAAAGTACATTTACCAACATTCAAATATCTTCCAAGTTGTAACTGAATCTCAAGAGCCTGCTCTGTTAATGCTAACTACCATTGGTCCCCACGAGTTGGTAGAATTGACTGCATAAATAGAAGGTATTTGAGACTCCACTTTGTTTTAAGGTCGGAAAAAAATATGGATACACAGCAACTGAATGGCTTGTTCAGAAAAAAAACATTTCATCCATTATCAAAGCCTTATTTCTGAATTTGAGTCACTTGGTCACTAGTTGGAATCAAATTAGGACTTTGGATTAGTATAAGCTAGGACACTAACAAGGCCACCAACTGCGCACACAATACAAAGATTTAGGTCTACAGTATATCACAGCATTTTGTTTACTTTTACACTGTTTCTTTAAGGCATTAAATAAATATAATATGTACATGTATTACTGCATAAGCTAAAATCAGAATTACATGCCAAATGTAATTCATGCAATCTTTTAATCAAGGAATATGTTTAGTTTTGTTTAGGCATATTTTTTTGCCTCTGAAAATACTTTAGATTCCTACTGACAACATTGATGAGTAAATTTGTTAAATATCATTAAATTCAGCTTCCAGACATTGGCCATATCTAACTAATACTTTGTTTTATTAGGCTAACACAATATTGTACATTGTAATTTCATTAGAAATAGAAATCATAAAAAAATTAAATACTTACCAAAAACTCTAATACTAGCTTATCTGCTTGTCTGTCTAAGAGTGTTACACAATCAGTCATTTGATTCAGCCATGATAAAAGATCAACTGTTGTCCCGGAAGTTGCTAAATCTTCGAATATTTTGTCAAAATGTGAAGAATTTCCAGTTTCTCTATATTTCAAAATCACAGAGCGAGCTGGTTCACGAGTACTGAAAAGTACTCGTTTACTGGATGAATTCATTATGCTCTGTCGTTTTTTCAGAATTGGCGTTAAAGGCATCATTGCGAAATCTGCATCTGAAAAAAAAAATCTATTAGAGATTTACTATATACTGTACAGTATAAAAAACTAACGAGTCCTATATTAACACTAAAAGCAGACGTCCATAAAATTTTGCCATGAATGCTAAAAACTAGAACACTCACATGCACTCTCACATTCTCCTCCCCTATTTCACTCTAGTTCTGTTCCATCTTCATAAGCAGCCAACCCTTGTTATAGGGTTGCATCCTAAAAAGGGTCAATAATTTGACACTGAGGGGGGGGGGGAAGACCTCTAAATAAGCCTACCATGTACTGTATATATAAACTGGCTGCCTGTTACCCTACATAATGAATTACCTAATTAATTAAGTTTAACTAGGCAAGTTAAAATAAAACTCAAAACTATGAATATAAATTGGATAAATTTAAATTCAACAAACCTTGGTAAATCCTTGTTTGGAAACAGGCTTGCAGACTTAAACAAATTACTGAGTAACATAATAGACATAGGATGGATAGACTGTTTCAAGTGTAGGCGAGACACGTAAATGAATTTGAGTGGATATAAATAAGTGCTGCCTCATATGGGCCAATAGGCCTTCTGCAGCTTCCATTTTTCTTATACAACATTTGAAAACTGTCTTGCGTGATATAAATCTAAAATTCAGTACAACCACTTCCTGCATGCATGGTTAAGCAATGACCAAATGTTATGCAATCACGTCACTACTATTTTATCTAAACTATTCTATATTACCTTTAAATATATATATTTTTATATATATACATATATATATACACTGTGCGTGAGGTGCATGACGTCAAACGGTAACCCTGGGGGCCACTTTTCCGGATACTAGAGCACCCTGCAGGAGAGAGAGGGGGCGACGGTGGCGCCGCAGCGGATCTTGACCTAACCTCCCTACCTTAAGGCGCTGATCCCTTGGATCCAGGCTCATGGCCGGGAATAGAGAACTATCATTATGGCGAGAACGTACAGGACGGTAATACATATATATTCAACTGGCACTACAAATCGGTCAAAGTTCGAAAAACACAATCATACTCCCGCCTAAATATGGCCAAAAATGGACAACATATTTGCCTTTTACATTTCATTCTTCCTCGAAAATATGGCAAAATAAATGTGAAGTTAAGAAGCGGTTGGCGTTACTTTACCTATGCGGTAGAATACGTGCATATAACGGGGGGAAATGGAAATAATGTGTGCGAGAGGAGGCGTGAGGTGAGGCAACACACACACTGGTGGTTACCTCTACTGGTCACAACACTGAGCAACGTGTTGAGGCGGGCGCTTATACCTCCCAGCCCACACCCACCACAGAGAACGGAGCTCTCTCGTTCATTTTCACAATTTCTTCTCTTTCACTCTCACTCTTTCACTCACTCACTCTTTCACTCTATCACTCACTCACTCACTCACTCACTCACTCACTCTATCACTCACTCACTCACTCTATCACTCACTCACTCTATCACTCACTCTATCACTCACTCACTCTATCACTCACTTACTCTTTCACTCACTTACTCTTTCACTCAATCACTCTTTCACTCAATCACTCTTTCACTCAATCACTCTTTCACTCACTCACTTTTTCACTCACTCTTTCACTCACTCACTCACTCACTCACTCACTCACTCACTCACTCACTCACTCACTCACTCACTCACTCACTCACTCTTTCATTCAATCACTCTTTCACTCAATCACTCTTTCGCTCACTGTTTCACTCACTCTTTCACTCACTCATTCACTCTCACTCAATCACTCTTTCACTCACTCACTCACTCACTTACTCTTTCACTCACTCACTCACTCACTCTTTCACTCACTCACTCACTCACTCACTCACTCACTCACTCTTTCACTCACTCTTTCACTCATTCTTTCACTCACTCTTTCACTCACTCTTTCACTCACTCTTTCACTCACTCTTTCACTCACTCTTTCACTCACTCTTTCACTCACTCTTTCACTCACTCTTTCACTCACTCACTCACTCTCACTCACTCTCACTCACTCTCACTCACTCTCACTCACTCACTCACTCTCACTCACTCACTCTCACTCACTCACTCACTCACTCACTCTCACTCACTCTCACTCACTCTCACTCACTCTCACTCACTCTCACTCACTCACTCTCACTCACTCACTCTCACTCACTCACTCTCACTCACTCACTCTCACTCACTCACTCTCACTCACTCACTCTCACTCACTCACTCTCACTCACTCACTCTTTCACTCTTTCACTCTTTCACTCATTCACTCACTGTTACGTAATGGGAGCGAAAAAAGTGTTAATTCCTCACACCTAAGAAATGCCATCCCTCTGGCGATAGGATGTACAAAGTAAATTACAAAACTTTCATGTATATATTATTATTATTATTATTATTATTATTATTATTATTATTATTATTATTATTATTATTATTATTATTATTATTAATGCAGGAAGAACGAGGTCAACGACCATGAGGGTTATTTAACAAGCGCGGCCCGGCTCGTCCGGTGGCGGGAATTCTGATGACCAATCAGAGTCGCCAGACGAGGCAACGAGCGCCTACATAAACGGGAGCAGAGGCTGCAGAGCAGACACACACACAGGCTCACCATTGCCCGTGCTACTTGCCCTGCTCCTGTGCCAGGTAAGTTACGGGCTCACAATAGCCCGTGCTATTTGCCCCGCTCCTGTGCCAGGTAAGTTACGGGCTCACCATAGCCCGTGCTACTTGGAACCTGTTCCGAGTACCTGAATCCATAACAATAAGAAGCTGCAGAGCAGTACTCTACTCACTCCCCCACCGTCGACACCAAGGGCAACGAAGCAGCAAGCACGCACGAACTTTTCTTCAATCTTTGACGACTTTGGTTACATTTATTAAACAGTTTACAAGCATGAAAACTTCTCAATCAGTTGTTGTTGTTGTTATAAACAGCCTCCTGGTACTTCGGAGCTCATTAACTGTTTAATAATTGTAAACAAAGCCGCCATATATTGAGAAAAGATCTACAGGCTCGTAAGTGCTTGCGTAACTGCTTCGTGAATCTGGCCCCAAGTCATCACTGGTTGAAGTCGACGTATGTGATTCCATCCTTGTCCCCACTCGGTGACAGTATATTATATCGTCGTTTGTATATATATTATATGTATTTGTATATCATGACGCAACCTATATATATCTATACATAGTATACATAATGTACATTTGTGATTAATATAGATAATTTACAAGTCGCCGGTGATACATTCGTATCAAGTGTTTTTAATTCGTGGACATAATTTGTCAGGACCCAGCCAGTGAAGTGTGTGGCACCTGACGATAAGCCAGGCTGGGAGGACTGGCCCGCCCAGTCGATTGATTGATGAAGATTAAGCCACCCAAAAGATGGCACGGGCATGACTAGCCCGTAAGTGGTGGCCCTTTTGAGCCATCTGTGATCTGTGGAGGTGCGACTGCACCCTGCGTGAAGGGAGATGTCTCCCCCGTCCCTCCCAGTCCTTATGACTAACCTTTAATCATGTCCTACTAAATGGTTAAATCTCATGACAACTGGAAATATAGTATCGTACTTAATGGTAAATGTGTTGGATCAACTCTTGACCCGGTAGTTCGATCCCAATATCACTCATTCTCTCGGTGATTGTAACCTTCCGCCACTGCCCACTGGATGGGAGAAAGTGGAAGAGAATGTTAAGACATTAGGAAAAATGGGTATAAAGTGGGGATTCATGTGGGGAATTTTGTTGAATGAGACAGCAAAGAGAACCACCACGGCTGTGGTGGGTATGTGGGCCTGCGGGCCGCTCCAAGCAACAGCCTGGTGGACCAAACTCTCACAAGTCGAGCCTGGCCTCGGGCCGGGCTTGGAGAGTAGAAGAACTCCCAGAACCCCATCAACCAAGTATCCCATCAACCAAGTATCAACCAGGTATCAACCTCGGAAAAAAACTCTTGTCGATGTTGTATGTCAGACAACTTTGAAATAAAAAAAACAAGAATCAAGATGATCCAAGAGGATGAAGAAAAAGCTAAGAGAACGGCAATGGTGGACAGCAGTAACACTTAAGCATTATGCAATTATAAACACAAACTCGTCCCTCACTTATATTAAAAGAAAGTGTAAATGGAAGGAGTCAATTTACATGAGATTAAGAATAGGCTACAAATATTTCTGACAATACGTTTGGTGCCTTCCTTTGATAATTACTTACTTTTGGCAATACGGTGGTGATGTCAGTGAAAAAGATAGTGTAAATTATGTACTATGCCGAACGCCCACACCTTTTTTGAGATACATACAAGAGTTGTTACATTCTTGTACAGCCACTAGTACGCGCAGCGTTTTGGGCAGATTATGTTAATCTGATTAGATTATGTTTGATTATGTTAATCCCTACCACATCTTTGAAAGGTTAAATGTAACATAAACAAAGGGTAACAACTTCAAAGTCAACATGTCACAATGTAAGAGAGGAAACAGAAAATGTTTTGTCACCCACATGGTTTTAAACCCATGGAACCGCCTACCCACCGAACCCGTAAATGCCAAGACATTACACTACTTCAATTCAAAATCCAGCTAGAAAAATTCTCGGGAACAATTGGGGGGTACGTTTGAGAAGCTGCTGGCTTCCTGTCCCCGTTGAGACACACTGGAGAGATGATGACTTTCGCGTAAATTAAAGTAATTTTTGGCAGCTTACTTACCAATCAGCACCTATGATTTAGCCCTGATTCAGACCACTTCTTTAAAAGGTCAGATGTAACACGAACAAGGAACACCGGTTTCAAGCTCGTATAAAATAAAAATCAGGATAGATAATAATAATAATAATTTATTTGCAAGGTACAATGGCTTGGTGAGATTACATAGAATTGGTCTTTTTACATTCACGTAAAGCCGTGAAGGGGGCATTCGTGCAAAGATCAGGGGGCCTTTGACAAGCCGCCAGTAAAAATGAGTAAAAGTAGGTGACTACGCACACATCACACACACACACACACACCAATTGATTGATAGTTGAGAGGCGGGACCAAAGAGCCGAAGTTCAGTCCCTGCAATCACACTTAAGTGAGTACAGTTAGGTGAGTACACACACACTGAGAGGTATGAGTTACGAGGAAAGGCTACAGAAACTAAACCTCACACCACTGGAAGACAGAAAGAGTTAGGGGAGACATGATTACCTCCTTCAAAATTCTCAGAGAAATTAACAGGGTGGACAAAGGCAAACAACTTAGCGTGGGTGGAACACAGACTAGGGGATACAGGTGGAAACATAGTAACCAAATGAGCCACAGAGACATTATAAATTATTGTTTTCAGTGTCAGAGTAGTTAAAAAATGGAATGCATGAGGAATTGATGTGGTGAAGTCAGACACCATACAGTTTCAAATGTAAATAAGATAGAGCCCAGTAGGCTCAAAAACCTGTACACCAGTTGATTGATAGTTGAGAGGCGGGACCAAATAGTGGAAGTACAACTAGGTGAATACATATTCACAGACCCAGGAGCTTCTCCTGGGTCTGCTTTAGGCTCCTGACGGTGACACAGCGACGCTCTAGACTGAGGGTGTGTTCCCTGTTGAGGATGTCCTTGGCGAAGTCCTCGTGGAGGCGATGAAGGTCCTCCAGAGTATCCTCGCTGGCCCTCAGACGCTCTCGCAGCGCCTCGATGCTTTGAGGCAGCTCCTCCAACTCGTCCTTCAGTCTGAAGACACGGAGTGACACTCACTGATGGTACTTAATTATGATTCATAGCTGCCACACGTATGTATTTCAACCTTCATAAATAATTAGAAGCCTGTAGACAGGAAGACTGTACCTAGGGCTAACCCAGGTCTTCTAAGGCTTAGAGGACCTGGGTAAGCCGAAGTGCAGGATTCCTAGTGGCTTAGTCTAAGCCACTATATAATAATGACCTTCCCGAGAGTGCAACTCACAACATTTAAAATCCCAACCCGTTCTCGCACTTTCTTTAAGTCAATATTGACTTATTAAATAAGTGCATATGTGACATACTAATTTATTGTGAATATTTTATAATCCCGGGTACTTATTTTACTGCAAGCTCAAACTGACCTGCAGTTTTCAAAATACGATGCCTATTGGAAATATGACTCCTGAGCGTTATTTTTGAGCGGAAAAATACAGCCTCGTTCCCCTTACAGAGGTAACCGGAGATAGTCACCTCCCTATCAGTCAGGGGGGTAGAAATAGTCTAAGCTACTCTATCCCTTTGAGATGTATTTCTTTCTTGTCTCAATAAACATACTTGAACCTATCAGTCACTGGAGGGTTATTACAAGCTATCAACCCCTGGATATTGGCCACCCAATAGGTTGGTCACCTACCTATAGTGAGGGTGGTCGAGGCAGCGGTCAGCGCCGGGCCTGAAGGAGCGGGTCCAGTGTCTACTCTGCGCCACCTGAAGGGGGGATTCCTTGTCCTGCAGTGCCTGCCGCAACGACCCCAGACTCACCTCCTCCTCTCCTATTTCCTTCCGCAACTGTTAGTACAAGTCAAACACAATTTAAATTATCATACAATAATCTGTAATGACTTTTATCATATTTGTATTATTCATATCGTATATTTTATCATTCTAATAAGAAAACCGAAAAAGACAGAAAATCATGAGCGACAGAATATTATATTCAACACGTAAATACAGTTCTGTATAGTTGTAAGGTCCAGTGAACGACACCTGGTTATCCAATCTGTTTTCAAAGAATCGATCCCGTGAAGGGAATTACTTCAAAACCACTACATAATTTGTGGTATTATCTTTTTCCCTATCTTACGGGCTCACTATAGCCCGTGCTACATGTAGCTAAATCTAAAACAACAACAATACTCCCTATCTATGGTTAGCATAGGATAAGATTAAGGTTAAAGTTATAGTTAAAGATAAGATTAAGGTTTCATTACGTTTGGTTACGTTAACATGGTGTATTATTCTAAAAAAAAAGTGAAATATGAAATTCGAAAAACCATTTCAGTATACTCTGAAATTTTATTTACAGAAAACCAAATTCTTCAGGCCGTTTAAACGAAAACGAGTTTAGCATATGCTTTTAAAATTTAGAACAACAATTTAAAATACAATAAAGTGATAACGAGAGACTAATCTCTGTTTAGGACAAAGGTTCACTTGCCAGTTTACAAGTAGACTATCAGTTTATCGGCCTCATGTTGTGAGGGCACACCAGAAGCCCAAAAAGTCCCGCCAACTCTTGGCTTTGCCGGCGCCGGACACCGTCTTCCCGCTCGAAGAACCAGCCAGAAAAGGTTCAAAATCTATCAACTTTCCTGTTATTTCAGGCGATATATGAGCTAGCTGTTGTAACAATTCGCACCGTTGAATAGGTATGCAAGACGGCAGTGTCAAAACCCTGTGGCTAAAATCTCGAAACGGAACGTAATCCGGCGGCCCCCAGGCGGTGTCCAGCCGTCTGCTCGTCGTCAAGGTTGAACCAAAAGCTCGTGGTTGGGTTTAAGGCCTATCAACCTCTGGCTGGTTAGTAGGACCCATCAACCTATGGAGGGTTATTAAGGCCTATCAACATTTGGAGGGTTATTAATTCCTATCAGCCTCTGGAGGGTTATTAAGGTCACCACAATAGCTTACTGACCAACCAGCAAGCACATCCCAGTAGCACAATATCCAAGCATAAGGTCAATTCCACGTTGAATCTACGTTGACAACATAGAATTACCGTTACACTTGGACACGGTGCCCACTGGGACCTCAATCCAGAACTCAAGTAAACTCTATGTTAGATACGAGGAAGTGTAAACTCGATGGTAGATACAAGGAAGTGTAAACTCGATGGTAGATATGAGGAAATATACGTGACGAAAACAAGCTGGGTAGACTAAACCATAAACAACATCTCTTCTCTTGCCCATAAGTATCCAACATTGCAAATTATTTCAAGTAGAAACACAATGACTTTCCACCGGTGTAATTATAAATAGTAACAAACTGAGGGAACGTGAGGCACTGTGGACGGAATGTACGAATTTTTGAACAGTTATACCCAGATCAAAATCGCGTTTTCTGCTATCGGAATTCCAAAGAGCATAACAAAAAATGGAACGCAGCAACTATAAACTTTATTGAACTTATACTAGGCACAAATAATTCCACCCTAGGCCTCACAAATGCAATTCAAAGCCTATTTTAGAATATATATGTCAAGAGTGAGGTAGTGGGTCTTAATATATGGCGTCTTCGGGTCAAGGGAAAGAGAACGGGCCTTACCTTAGCATCCTCAGGTTAAGGGTAAGAGAGCGGGCCTTACCATGGCGTCCTTATCAACAAGCTTGGACTTAGCATCCTCCAGTTCCCTTATGCGAGTGTTGAGGGCCACGTCCGAGGCCTCGGCAGCGGCCTCCACGTCCCGAGCCACGTCCTGCAGCGCCTGTACAGGAAAGGACGAGTCTTTGACCTTGCTCCAAAACGCTGCTGTAAATACACGCTAATACATTTCTTGGCGTTGGCCCGCTTTCTTGTCTTGTCTATGTTAATATGAGGACAGTTGTTAAAAAGAGGAAAAACGTATAATATAAACAATAAATTGATATAGGACTTAAGGCCTATCAACCTCTGGAGGGTTATTAAGGCCGCCACAATTACCTACTGACCAATCAGCAAGTATATTTTTTTAGTCCTGAACACTGTCCAGGACTAAAGTAAACTCTCAGTGTATATTCACCGACAAGATTATGTATCCCTGTTGATCAGATAAAAGGTGAAGGGACGACGACGTTTCGGTCCGCCCTGGACCGAATCCTTCGGTCCGTCGTCGTCCCAACCTTCTAATTGTTGCTAAACATATAAATATTGTGACTTATCGTCTGCTTAGTATCCCTGTTTAGATTGATCAGAATGTGTTATTTCATCTTAAGCACCTTTAGCTGCCTAAATAAATGACACTATAGATACATTTTAAAGGTTACAAGTTACTATCTCTGAGAAACAAAAATTCGATTATAATTTCCTGTCCGTGTTTCACAAGAGCCGAAACATATCTTCTGAATAATATAAAATTAACAAATTTCTCTAAAATTACTCATAAAAAACATGATTTGGTGACTTTACTAAGAGTATGAGAGTACCTCACCTGGCTGGCGGCGCCCCTGAGCTGAGTACCTGAGGTGATCTCCCTGCCGGAGACCTGGAGGTGGTGCTGGGTACGGCTGCTCCAGGTATCAGGGCCCGACGTGCCCTCGTGCAGGGCCGCCGACACTGGCTAGGGGGGTTAAGGGAGAGGAAGAACACCTCATGATCTACCTTACACCTTGCAGTATGTTATGATATATCAGTTATACCTGTAACTCTTAACATCCTCGCTGTATATTTCTAAAGAAGTTCCCTGCGTCAAACAGATAATGGAAGTACACAGCTTAGGATATAATAAAATTGTTGTTGTATCTTATTGTATCGTTTATAACTCCAGTTTGGATGATGAATAATTTTAACCAGATTTGTGCAGGAATAAATGTTATACTCAGACTTAGAGCGCTCTACAGTCACCCATATCAATCCGTTTTCTTTATAACGCATCGCATTTTGACGTATAACTTATCTAAGGCCAAAACCTGATTGTATGAATAATAGTAGCAGCTCCTGAAATTGACGTTATGTCCTGTTTTCTGTTGGTGGGCCCTCGGGTAGGTTAGGCTCAGGCACTTTAGTACAACAAATTTAGTGATTATGGGAACGCTCGGGAGGACGGGCTGCACATGTACAGAATACATGTGTCATGGTTCAAGACTCCCCTGTGCTCTAAACTATTGTTTAAGTTAAATATTTCTGTGCACACCGAAGCAACACATGTGCCTATTAATATTTATTATCACACCGTCACCTAAATATTAAATCATAAAAATCTTATCAAATTATGTGGAGAAAACAAACTTTTTCCAGTGGAAATGTGGAATAGCGACTGTGGATAAAATATGGAGGCGAGTTCCAACACCATGAACAAAAGGAGACGAGAAACTACTGATAATGCTGCTGGAACAAGAATATAGAGTTCAGCAATGAAGGAATATATCATTCCTGTTAGACTGAGGTCCAGATACACAAGAATACACTGGCACCAGCTACTTCCACACAACATAAAGATACCGTACGCTCTAAAACCTGTGACGGCAGCAATATTTTGACGTCAACGATTTTCATCTCCTTTTCCCTTCGTTAGCTTAGCTTCGGTCAGGTCAGGTTTGGTTAGGTTAAGTAGTACTGAGTTGGGTTGGGATAGCTTAGGTTTATTTATGAAGCAGCGATGACGGAGAGGAGTATGCATGCTTCGCTAAGGTCTTAGATCCTACTCAAACGAGGAGTGGCTCGAACATAAAACTTAAATCAGAACGTTATGAAACATCTGCCTAGCGTTAAAAGATCTATATCTTTTAACCTCAAGCTCAACTTTGGTCTGAGAGACTATTGATGTACCTTAAACTGCGCCTGGATGGCTTGGTTGACGAGCTTGGCAGCGGAGTGGTCCAGCTGGAAGGCTTCCTGCTTGTCGGACCAGTCGTGCTCCAGCAGGCGCTTCACCTCCAGCAGGCGGCCGATCTGCGCCTCTGTCTCCTTCAGTGTCTGCGTCAGGAGAGCTCTGCCAGTACGCAGTATCTCCGTCTCCTGCTCGACCAAGGTCACGCCATGAGAGATAGATGGACCCCTTCTGAAGATGTATTATTAAATACGAAAGTATTTAAGGAAATCCCTGTTTCAATTATTCCTCAATGGTCTGGCACTGTCATTATATATATATATATATATATATATATATATATATATATATATATATATATATATATATATATATATATGTATATGTATATATATATATATATATATATATATATATATATGTCACTATGTATGAGGTCAATTTTTTTATTGGAGTTAAAATTAACGTAGATATATGACCGAACCTAACCAACCCTACCTAACCTAACCTAACCTATATATATAGGTAAGGTTAGGTTAGGTAGCCAAAAAAAGCTAGGTTAGGTTAGGTTAGGTAGGTTAGGTAGACGAAAAAACATTAATTCATGAAAACTTGGCTTATTAGGCAAATCGGGCCTTGCATAGTAGGCTGAGAAGTGAGTTCTGGCTACTAAGTACGACATATATATATATATATATATATATATATATATATATATATATATATATATATATATATATTATATAAACAAAATTATCATAATTTACATATTTACATTATCTTAATAACAAAAACAAGTAGTTAAAACTCCTTAAAACACATGAGGTATGGAAAGACAGACTTGGTTGGTGTTTGGCCTAAGGTCTATCAAGGGCCTAAGGTCTATCAAGGGCCTAAGGCCTATCAAGGGCCTAAGGTCTATCAAGGGCCTAAGGCCTATCAACCCTTACAGTTTACAAGGAGGGTTATTGAGGCTATAACAACAGCTCAATGACCACCAGTGAGTAAACTTTAGTCTTCCGCATAATTAAAGAAAATGGGATTAGACTCTGAAAGTACATTTTTAAATATCGAAACAGGAATTTATAAACATTGAGGATTTTCAGACAGAAACCCAACCCATTGCAATGATAGGAAATGGGTTTAGGCTACAATCTGCATTTAGATGACTAACATTAAAGATAAATCTACTATAACAACTGATTTGAAGCATTGTTACTATTATGAGCAAAGCTTGAAATGTGTGTGTGACGGAGAGCGGTAGCCTCATCAGGACAGGGACATTATACCTGAGTTTACCTGAGGGCCATTGTCTCTCGAGTGGCCTCGATGAGGACAGGAAGTCGGGGCTTGTCAAAAGTTCCCTCGAGGATAAGCATTGATCTTATTGAGGACTATCATTGACCTTGTCGAGAGCAAACACTGACCTTGTCGAGGGCGAAGGTAACGGGGTCACGAGTCCTGTCGACCCCCTGACGGAACCTGCGGATGTGTACACACTCCTCGGTGTTCCTCTCCGGCAGCTCCAGAGCGAACAGCGCCACCTGCCAGGGACGCCCAGAGTAACAGAACCAAAGAATAAAAAGAAACCGGAGACGATCTATTGGGGCCATACGAGGCAACTCCTATTTATATGCACCTAAACCTCAGTCATATATATATATATATATATATATAACTATACTATACACCCCAGAAGTGACTCGAACCCATATACAACTATATGTATATATATAATCCGCTTATATATGCGAACACCGGACATAAGGAAGTGATCCCCAGGACAATATGAACCACTTGAAAACGCCACACCTCCATGGTAATCTTGGGCATAGCGATTTTACCCATACTTCTGGGGTGTGAGAACACAAATGCAAACAAGCCTGAATGGTCCCCAGGACTATATACAACTGAAAACTCACACCCCAGAAGTGACTCGAAAGCATTGATCTTATTGAGGACTATCATTGACCTTGTCGAGAGCAAACACTGACCTTGTCGAGGGCGAAGGTAACGGGGTCACGAGTCCTGTCGACCCCCTGACGGAACCTGCGGATGTGTACACACTCCTCGGTGTTCCTCTCCGGCAGCTCCAGAGCGAACAGCGCCACCTGCCAGGGACGCCCAGAGTAACAGAACCAAAGAATAAAAAGAAACCGGAGACGATCTATTGGGGCCATACGAGGCAACTCCTGAGGAACACAAATTTATATGCACCTAAACCTCAGTCATATATATATTATATATATATATATATATATATATATATATATATATATATATATATATATATATATATATATATATATATGCGAACAAGCCTGAATGGTCCCCAGGACAATATGCAACTGAAAACTCACACCCCAGAAGTGACTCGAACCCATACTTCTGGGGTGTGAGTTTTCAGTTATATATATATATATATATATATATATATATATATATATATATATATATATATATATATATATATATATATATATTATAGTATATATAGCCTCGGCTATCACTTCCTTATATTATATACCATATATATATATATATATATATATATATATATATATATATATATATATATATATACATGCATATATGTAATCTAACCTGTTTGAAATAATTACAACTCTTTGGTCGAACGTCCAAAAATAAACTGTTGCAGCTTTTGTACTGTTAATGATGTAGAAGGCACAAAAAAATACGCCGAAATCCAAACTTCAGAATTTCTAGGCCTAATACAGCACATTTATAATTCGATTTGTCGGGGACAGGAAGCCTATGTTTATATATATATATATATATATATATATATATATATATATATATATATATATATATATATATATATATATACATAATATATATATATATATATATATATATATATATATATATATATATATATATATATATATATATATATATATATACCTTAGGCTTGTATCGTTCCCCCATCGGGAAGGTCGAACGACTGACCTTCCCCAAGATGCAACCCCATAACAAGCTCACTAACTCCCGGGTACCCATTTACGGCTAGGTGAACAGGTGCATGAGGCGAAAGGAAGCGTTCCCAATCATTTCTGTCCCGCCTAAATTTAGGCTTAATAGCGTATATTAGGCTTAAATTAGCTTAGACAGATTAGGTTAGATTCTTTAATTGGTAGAACGCCATTTGGGCTAATCCTGAAACACAGTACAATTTTGGACGTTCGAGCAGACAGCTGATATGAGAATTGTCATTTCAGGAGGAGTATTACACAGTAACTGGTGCGCGGAGCCTGCAGGAGGTGTACCTGTAGGCGGGTCTTCATGGTGTCCTGGAGAGCCAGCTCCTCCACTGTGGCGTTGATGGCGTGGTGAAGGTGGGAGCGGTGCTCGAGGGTGGAGCCCAGGCGCTCATCCAGGCCCTTGGTGACCGAGTCCTGCGCTGTGTGGGTCCGCTCCTCCGTGTACCTCTCCGTCTGGCGGCTCTTGTTTCGCAACCTGCACGCACGCACGCACACACACACACACACACACACACACACACACACACACACACACACACACACACACACACACACACACACACACACACACACAATAAAATAAAATGTTATTTTATCAAAAATGAACACCCAATTTTTCCAAATCTGAAGTAGAGATGTTAATTTCGAATGAAATGCTTCAGTTCTTCAATCTTTTTTATTAATTATGTATCGGGTGCTACTCTTATTACCGCATGTGTGACTTTTAAAGTTTTTTTTATTAATTCTTGCCCTTGAGAGAAGTTTATTCTTCGTTTTAAGAGCAACTGGCATTGGCTTGTTTTTGTTTCCTTTAGAGTCCGGAATAATATAATTTTATCACAAATAAATTTGGGGGGTAATACCTGAGAGTTCCCGAGCCCCGCTCTCTATAGTGATCACTGGGACATGAGACCCCAGTTAATCACCCCTAGTTGATCCCTCAGTGATATTTGACCCAATATTATATCCCTCCTGGTCACTTGCACTAACAGGGAAAGCGCTAAGGTAGCATTGTCATATTTTACGGCTAATACAGTCACAACAGCGCTTTCTCTAGATAATTACCATTGTAGCTTAGAAACTAGGAGGAGGACTGACCTGTCGGAGTACTCGAGGAGGGCGTCGGCCTGGTGATGACGGTCCAGGTGGTGGGTGTGCCATCGGAAGGGCGTCAACTCCCCCGTCCGCGCCTCCTCCACCGTCTGCAGCGGCGACGTCGTCCTCACCAACCTTTCCCGCCAGCCGCCGACGTCCACCGCGCTGGCCAAGACTCGATCTTAACACTTTACAGCAGCTGTCAGGTGGCGACGAGTGAGAGGTGACCTCTCACTCGTCGCCACCACCACTGCTTCACACACGTTAATACTTCTCTACGTCTTTTAGTTTTGTCAAGAGGTTCCTGTTTTTCTCAGGTTATTTTTACGCCCCTAAATGGTCATTCGCTTTTAATTCATCTCCCAGTTCCTGTTATGTGCACTGGGACTAACAAAGTATTGGAATTCTGGCCTCAAGAAGTCCCCCTTTTCCTGGATTCGGACTCGGGACTATTTTGCTTCGTGAGAAGACTGAGCTACATACTACAGAGGAGGTCTCTTCAATACTTTCTGTATTGATTAAATTTCAATCTCCTCTGATTAAATGCGTGGTTTTTGTAATCTGGTTATGGGAAATTGAGCCATTCTGATTACAAGTTTTAATCAGGGGCCAGATTCACGAAGCAGTTATGCAAGCATTTACGAACCGGTACATCTTTTCTAAATCTTTATCGGCTTTGTTTACAATTATTCAACAGTTAATGAGCTCCGAAGCACCAGGAGGCTGTTTATAACAATAACAACAGTTGAATGGCAAGTAACCAAAGCCGTTTCATGCTTGTAAACTGTAACTGCTTTAATGGACCATGCTTCAATGTAACAAATCAAAGCCGTCACCACTAATTGAGGAGGAAGATGTACACGCTTCGTGCCATAGTACTCTGCGTAACGAAGGTGCTTCATGAATCTGGACCATGCTTCACGCGGGGAGTGTCGCGGGACACACAACAAATCTATGGTCAATGTTGCTGATGGTTTAGAGGCGCCGAAGACCCGACGATTCTACTGGTCAAAGTTGACATCTTTAGCATTAGGCTATTTTAAGCACAACATACCCCCCCCCCCCTGTAATTTTAATATAATGGCATATAGTAATCCAGCTGGAACCTTCTCGACTTAACAGTCGTAAAATTTTAATTGGGTATCCCCAAACTATTACGAACATTTAATTATTACCCAAATTCAGCAATTTTTGATGATTTGGTCGATTCTGTTAAAAATGCATTAAATGGGAGGACAGGTTGTCTAAACACTTCTTCTGTGTCAGAGAAGTATATCGGAGAGAAGGTGAAGGTGCTTGTTCTCACACATCATCTGAACAACGTTCATATTGATTCGTTCGTATGTTGTTTGTTGACCAACTCGTATATTGGCTATTTTCTACCATGTCCCCCCCCCCCTTTTTTATCTTTTTTTCTTGTTTTTCTTTCAACGTAATTTATACTTTAAGCTTAATTACTATTAAGTTTTAGTCTAAGTGATTTTTCCCCCACCTCACCTTGCCCGAAACGCTATGCGTACTAGTGGCTTTAGGTATTGTATGTACTACCTCTATCTATAAATCCAACATTATGTTTGTAACTAATCCTCTATGCATGTATTTTTACCTAAATAAACATTTGATTTGATTTGATTTTGTATAGTCTCCTTTGTAAAATGAAATTTGATACAAAAAGAGGCCTAGAACTCGTATTTTTGTGTATTTGACTTGAGTGTTAGTGCTAAAGGATGTTCCAGCACTGATGAGTAGCTTGTAGAGGTGTGTGAGGGTGCCTGTCTGACGCTATATACAGACGTGCTAGGCTGTTTCTGACTATCCCTACAATTAAGTTTATGTGTTTAGGGGAATTTAGTGTTCTAGCTACTTCATATCCATGAAGATATGGATATGATATGATATAGTGTGGTCTTGATGACCATGGGTTCCACACCCACCTACACCTTACCTACTTGTTACCTACCCACCTATACATGACCTACTCTCATCCGCTCAATCTCCCCTTACCTATAAGGGTGGTTGCCGGGCTTAACGTCGGCGGGTTGTGTGTGGGGGACGAGGCTAGTGAAGGTGATGGCTTCCCTTGGGGCGGCCAGCTCCTGTGAGGGTCCTCGGGAGTCCTGCAGGGTCGCCCCCACCTCCTCCACCGTCTTCACCGCTGTGGCAGTTCCCTCCATGACGGTTGGCTGGCTCCTCTAGGCTCACCAGCACGCTCTTGGGGCAAGGAAGGTCTACTACATTAGAACGCTCTCTGTTGTTTACATACTGCTGGCGTATGAAACGCAGCTCATACAAACGGATTTGTTTGCTATGAACATGACAGACGTTATGGAGACAACCTCCACAAATGTGGTCAAATATATATAATAATAATAATAATAATAATAATAATAATAATAATAAGTAATTGGACATGTAGGGTCGAGGCTTGAGGTGGCAGGGTTAATCTTCCCTGTTCACTGTTTGGTAATGTTATGCAAACATGCAAAAGCGCACACAGATAAATAAATAAATAAATATGTTTATTCAGGTAAGGTACATACATACAAGTGATGTTACATTAATGGATTGATATATAGATAGAGCTAGTACATACAATGCCTAAAGCCACTATTACGCAATGCGTTTCGGGCAAAGATATAGGCTCGTACACACACATTCGTCAAATATACAATCTCAATGAGGATGTTTGCAGGAGAAATGACCACTTAAATGGCAGACAACTGAGAATTGTAGACACACAGATAACATGTCATGCACAATGCTGAACGGCCTTCTGGCATATGAATAAGGAGACATTGAGAACACAGTATAGCATCACGTACGTGAGAGCAATACTGGAGTACGCACCGCCAGCATGGGATCCTCACCTTTGGTCCTGGACTATGTTCAGAACTAAATTATACTGGTGGAGGCTTTAATAACCCTCCCGCGGTCATTAGGCGTTAATCCCAGCACCATACCAACCACCCATTCGGTAAGATAGGAAAGGAATGATAATTGAAGAAATGGAAACTGGAAGCTCTGTCAAGCCAGTGGGATATAAGAACATTTTCTTTAAATACTATGAGGAAAGTGAGTGACTGGTATAACGTTAGGGGCCCAGGAACTGGAGTTTAATTCTATTCACCTGGGTTCTAGGAGACTCGAACCGTGGACCCCACGTGTGTGAAGGCGAAGCTCTATCTATTTTACTGTAGCTTAATATCAGCAAACACACGTACCAGAGTACAGTTACCTTGTGGTTACCTTGCGATGATTTCGGGGATCAGTGTCCACGCACCCCGGTCCTCGATCAGGCCTCCTCGTTGCTGGACTGGTCAATGAGGCTGTTGGACACGGCTGCTCGCAGCCTGACGTATGAATCACAGCCTGGTTGATCAGGTATCCTTTAGAGGTATTTATCAACTTCTCAGTAGAACACGTAGAACACTGCACTGTGAGGGGGTCGGCCAGTTATATGTATATGGGCAGGTGAACTATGCGAGTACTCACACAATACAACGGTACTATTCAGTAGAGATGTTGAGACGATATGTTAGAATGTTTTAACAATGGCTGTGACTCCACTGTCGTAGACGGGCAGGGATGACAACAATGTGTGTGGGGAGACTCGCCTAGACCAGTCAGCGCCCCCCGGCCCTCCACCAGTACTGACCACAGGCTGACGTTGTCATGGTGACCGCGGCCCTCACTCACCACAGTAGACAAGGATAGTAGCAAGAGCCTGGAGCATATACACACGAGAGAGAGAGAGAGAGAGAGAGAGAGAGAGAGAGAGAGAGAGAGAGAGAGAGAGAGAGAGAGAGAGAGAGAGAGAGAGAGAGAGAGAGAGAGAGAGAGAGAGAGAGAGAGAGAGAGAGAGAGTGAGAGAGAGTACTCACCTAGTTGTGTTTGCGGGGGTTGAGCTCTGGCTCTTTGGTCCCGCCTCTCAACCGAGGTGTACAGGTTCCTGAGCCTATTGGGACTTGAAGCTGTGTATGGAGTCAGTGCATTCCATTTGTCAACCACTCTGACACTAAAAAAGTTCTTTCTAATATCTCTGTGGCTCATTTGGGCACTCAGTTTCCACCTGTGTCCCCTTGTGCGTGTTCCCCTTGTGTTAAATAGACTGTCTTTATCTACCCTATCAATCCCCTTCAGAATCTTGAATGTGGTGATCATGTCCCCCCTAACTGTGTGTGTGTGTGTGTGTGTGTGTGTGTGTGTGTGTGTGTGTGTGTGTGTGTGTGTGTGTGTGTGTGTGTGTGTGTGTGTGTGTGTGTGTGTGTGTGTGTGTGTGTGTGTGTGTGTGTGTGTGTGTGTGTGTGTGTGTGTGTGTGTGTGTGTGTGTGCACAACACACTCTAATAAGCAAGTACTTTGTAACTATAAATAACTTTATAACTAGAGTAAACAGTTGTTTAAAGTGTAAACAAATAAACAAAACAAGTTAGGATGCATCTGCCAGTTGACTTCTTCAAGCTGGCGAGGTGACCAAGATTTCTAGGCACGTATGTACCTGTGCATGAGGTCAAAGGAAATGTTGCCCAAACGTCTTGGTCGTGGCGCGGGAATCGAATCCGGGATCATTTGATTGTGACCCGGCTGCGCAGGCTACTGCGCCATGGGAGTCTGCGCATCACTTCTGGCCAAGATCCAGACGTAAATATTATAAAATATTTGTTGTTCAAAATTATCTACAGTCTGTCTTAAGGCTTCTCATGACTTTTTAATCTGTATTGTAATAGGCTCTTAATAAAACTATTTTTTCAACAATTTCCATTTTTTATCACGCACGTAGATCATAACTATATTAAATTTGGTTTGCATTGTCACATACTCATATACCATTTCCTTGACTGATTTTGTAAGGTCAGTTTCTGTAAACATTTTTTGTCAATTTTACTGTAAATTTTCTACTTAAAATTATGTTAGATTAAGGACTTGCCCGAAATGCTATGTGTGCTAGTGGCTTTACAAGAATGTAAAATCAACATCATTACTATGTACTCTCTTAAACCCCAATGTACCTTCTTGTATATAAAAAAATAAATAAATAAATCAGCGTCTTTCATGACCATTTGGTCAAGTACACTCTAGAGCACAATGTCTCTTATTACATTGTACATGTGATGGGTCTTTCGGCGCCGTAGAGAGGGAGGACCTGCTGCCTGGGTAACAGCTTCTCCATATCAACCTACCCTGGCTTTGCGCCCTAGTGAGGCCACTCCAGAGCACAACACCGTAGTCTCCTGAGACTGATGGATGCCTACTACTACTGTGATCCCCAGAATTTAGAAGCTTCGAGCCCTATAATCAAAAAATATTGCTGGAACCAAAGTTATAGCTTCCAGTGATGCTATATTCAAAATCCTTAAATAAAGAACAAAAGGCACTATCAAGTACTGCCAATAATCTCTAAATCCACTAAGTAATTATCTTGTGATATAGCTTAATCACAATAATCAGTTTAAATAGTGAAAATAGTCAATCTATAATCATTACCGGCACTGACGCCGGTGGGGCAGAAGCGCCCAGAATCGTGAAGTGGACGATTTGTACTTTCATCCAGGAGTGCACTCGTGTGTAAGTTTATTTTTATTAAGATATGAGGTACATCTGCATTAGTGCAGCTATCCTAGACTATATGAAGTGGAGTACAGTGTGTCAAAAAAGCTAACTAAGTGATGCTAAAAAATCCCCATCACACAGGATGGTTAGTCATACAGAGGCATGTGATAAGCAGTCTGCACTGGCAGACTCCGGATGCATTTTGAGGATATCAAAATAAGGTATATGAATAAGGTAGCAGTGGTAATACAAGTCCCCATCTCGCAGGATGGTTAGTCATACAGAGCCATGTGTTTAATAGCCTGCACTGGCAAATTTTAGGTATACTGTGAGGATATCTTCAAGAATACGAGAGTGAATAAAGTAATTGCAAAGCTCCAGGTACCTCATGCCAACTGGTCTGAAAGGTCTAATAACTGGGCATTCAGTGATGTAGTGCGGGAGATCATGCCGTAGTTCCTGCTCACAGAGTTTGCAACTGGAGTGCTCAGGATTGGGAGACCCGTCACCTGCAGCCACCTGCCACAGGTAACGGTAACCCAACCTGATCCTTGCAACCACTGTGTCGCACAGTCTAGTGGACGTTTTGTGCTGTCCATAGATGTAGGTTTCAGATCTGAACAAATCATAGCTTTTTATACTAGTACTTTCAGGTCGTTGGGAGTCAGTAAGTTCTTTCCTATCAGATCTGAATGTTTGGACCAATACAGTTTTGACAGCAGAGATGGGGATACCTAGATCTAATTCAACTTCAAACTTGTTACACGCTAATTTGGCTGCAATGTCTGTCTCATTATGATGGGTTATATTTATGTGTGATGGTATCCATACAAAGGAGATTCGAGACCCTTTACTTTGTGCATCAATTAGGTCATTTATAATTGGGAGTATGAGGTTCTTGCTGTCGATCTTCCAAGAGAAGTTTTCGATTGCTTGAAGAGCAGACTTTGAATCACAGAATATTATTCCTCCTCCAATGTTTTTTAATGTACTGGTTGCTAAATGTAATGCTGCTAGTTCTGCTTGTGTGGAGGTCAGCCAGTTGTTTAACCTGACACTGACAGTCTTTGCGCAAATATTATTTCTATAAAACCTACATGCCGCTGCAGTCCGTCCAGTAGAGGATTGGACTGAGCCGTCGGTGTAGACAGTGTTCGTGAGATCTTAAACTCTCGATGGAGGAGGCAATTGTTTCAAGAGTGACAGCTTTGAGAAGAGCAAGATTCTCATTATCTTTCTTGGTGACAGGTGTGTATAATACTTGAATGGAGGGGTACAGATGAAGAGGAATATCAGAGACAGGTAGATTGCACTTAAAAGGAATATTAAGTTTAATGAGATTGTAAGCATTGTAGCTCAGCCAATTATCATAAAAGGAGTGAGTTGGTATGTCGACACCAGTCAAAAGGGTGTTAACAGCACTAAATCTCGTGTGTAAGGCTGGAGACGCTTTTTTCAACAAGATATAATAGCACTTTCCGTGCTACTACTCTCCCTGACCTCTCCTCTCTGCCTCTTCCTCGCGTCCTCCTCCTTTTCCATGATACTGTCGACGCTGCCCTCCGCTTTACCTCCTGGGGCACGCGGAAGTGGGTTCCCTAGTGGAATGCGGACTGTGCTCGGGCTGTCCACTGTAAGCGTACAGCCTGGAAGAAACACCGACGCCGAGAGACGGCTGCAGAGACATTGCAGCAGCCAAACACTGACTCAGACTTGGTTACAAGTGCTGCTGGGAGGTAATGAACCCAATAGTTAAAGAGTGTCATATCTGTGGAACAGAAGCAGAGGCGCCACTATTGCACTACTTACTGGAATGTGAAGCAACTGAAGCCCTGTGCATCAAACACAACATTAATCCAACAAGAGCAGCTGAATTACATGCAAAATCCACAGCGACTGCAATGATGATAAAAGCAGTTGAAAAATGGGACACTAGTGAACACTGTGCATCTATATCCACCACCAAGACAATGTTATTAAAACAGGACTAAAACCAATAAACTTTATTAAAACGACTAAAACAGAAGTGAAAAAGAAACGGAAGAAAAAGAAGGAAACCCCACCTTAATTTAAAACTGTGACCCAAATATCACAGTAACAAGGTTATCGTGAATAAACGAACTCGATTACGGGTTCACTATAGCCTGTGCTACATGGACATTTCGTTCTGAGTAGGTAAATTTAAAACAACACAACAGCCATTTTAAACTCTAGAACATACAGCCCCACTCCCCAGCTAGGTAGGTCCACTATGGGCTCACCATAGCCCGGCCTGCTTGGAACTTTTTGTTCCGAGTAGCTGAATCTTTGAAACAACAACCAATATAAATTTACTGTCTCTCTGCCTCTGAAGATGATGAAAAGTGCTTCAGTAAAATATGAACAAATAGCCACACGTGTCAGACCATTAATATTCTAAAATTAATTTTAGAGACACGTCTGAACTTCCTTCCCAAGTGAAAACGAATATACTGCAATATAGAGAAGTCTCGAACTAGGATCACTGATATAACTCTTCCAGTCATATTCCAGCCCAGCTTCCTCAAGTGATGATGCCTATAGCACCTATTTGGCAGACTGTACACAAATGGGCTGTTAGACACTTTTTTATTATTATTATGTTAGATCAACTTTTATTTCGTGTAGTGAAGCCAGATCAATATTGTGCTACTTGAACTCAGGTCATGTAGTGAAGGGGGGACTGCGATTTGATGACCAAAGGGTTTGACAAAGGGGGGGGGGAGGATGATGATTAGGAATAAGGATGCAAAATCAGGAAAAGGATGAGACTGCTTGAGGCAAGTCAAAGACACACACACAGAACGTTATCTATCGTTCTTTGAGATATCAAATAATTGCTATGCGAATAGTCACTTTATTGGCATATTAAAACTGTCTGTACATTTAATTACCATACTTTGGACTATAGAAAGACACACAAACAAATTATATGTTAATGTTTATTTGGAGAGTCTACAGTAGTTGGAATTACAGTCTTTCTCTATTGCTGGATGTGTAGTGGGGGGAAATGTTCAGGGAATGGACAGTACCATCGCTTCTCTGCCTCAAGACACAAAAACTTTAATAAAATAACCACTTCAGTAAGTTAAAATATCAACCAATTAAGTTAAAATTTTATTAAAGAAAAAGTGGCAACGAGAAAGGGACTGTTATAATTTATACAAAATGATAATTGTGTCATGCTTGTGTCACGTAATGTAGTGTGGATGTATTTTCTTAATTCAGTTATATCAGGATTGAAATTCCCGCAATTCCAACATCTCATAATCAGTCTTATGACTTGTCATTAAAATTCAGCCTTGTACTGAAGTAATTAATCTAATCTTTGGGTTATAAGCTGTGCATTGAGCGAGATTTACATCATCAATTTACAGAACAAATTCTTCACCAGTTACTGATTGCTCATAACCAAGCGAATAACAGTTAAAATAATTATACAAGCTTTCATGCTTCAGGCACTTGTGTATTGTCTCAAAGGCCATCTTCAGGTACATTCTTCTAGTATTCTTCGCCACCTTCTTCGTCCTCTGCTTCAGTAGAGTCTACGCCCACTTCCTCGTAGTCCTTCTCGAGAGCTGCGAGGTCCTCCCGAGCCTCCGAGAACTCACCCTCCTCCATGCCCTCTCCCACGTACCAGTGGACGAAGGCCCGCTTGGCGTACATCAGATCGAACTTGTGGTCGAGGCGAGCCCAGGCCTCAGCGATGGCGGTGGTGTTGGAGAGCATGCACACGGCCCTCGACACTTTAGCCAGGTCGGCTCCCGGCACCACCGTCGGCGGCTGGTAGTTGATCCCCACCTAAAACATATTACATCATTACCAAGAGTCTAGTTAAGGTAATTATCGCATGAAAGCGAAAAGTCATTACCATTATGTAGCTTGTTTAGGAATATAAGGCCAAGATAGGAACTGGGATTAAGGAACGGTGAGCAACCACGTTAATCCTAAGAGGAACGAACGCCGGACGTGCAAAAGGCAAGGCCGTCACTGTACCGACCAGACCAAGTGGTTGGATTATCAACAGTCAAGTAGTATGCAACAAACAAAAAATACATAGTAAAAAGAGTTCCGCTTAATTTAACATTCAACAGCACTGAATTAAGAGCGGCAAATGAATAAGAATGCACTCAAATACCAAATGTTTCTTGATGTTCGTGATTCCATTGCTCGCGTCATCAGCCGTGTCTAGACCTGAACGGACATCAGTTTGAAAACAGGCATTTACAAAACAATTAAACAATGTCTGATTAAACAAACAATTAAACAAACGAGCATAAAATGTCTGTAGATTATATTACATTTTGAAAATAAAATGTATTCGAATAAACACTTAGTTATATAACTATTCAAAGTGTGTAAAAATTTTTGGGTCACCTTTATATATGAGCTGCCTCGTATGGGCCAAGATATCGATGCCTTCTGCAGTTTCATTTATTATATTTTACCCCTCCAGTCACACACACATGCGTCTAAGACTCCAGGTCACCATCCCTAACACTCTTCGACGTTAAATCCATGAATTGATATATGTATGTTGGATTAGCATTGTAAAAACACTTCAATGATCTTGTGTTCAATAAATCACTGAACTATATGTTTAGCAGATTTCTAACCCTGTTCAAGGAGGACACAAGAAAATGTATATACGCTGGATACCATTGTAAATGTGTGGTCACGTCTGTGATAACAAATAATATAACAAATCAAATATAACAATATAACATATAACACGTGTTCACCACAAACTCCTCCTTCCTCCTCTTCTCCTTATGCAGCAAACACTGATAAGTAAAGTAAAGACATGGCTTTTCATCTAGTATTGCTGTTATTGAAAGTTTAAAAGGCTTTAGACTGACCTTCAAAGTTTCCTCTGTCTAAAAACATAGATTGGAACATTACGAGCATAAATTGTCTCCAAAACACACTGTCAATCCAGGTCTGTCGATGGCACAGGAAGTTGTCAACATCCCAGGTCTCATGCAGCATCCCACTAACGGTCATCCTCCCCACCAACATCCATTTAACGGTCATCCTCCCCACCAACATCCATTTAACGGTCATCCTCCCAACCAAAATCCCAGTAACGGTCATCCTCCCAGCCAGTAACAGTCATCCTCCCCCGTCACCTTGAAGCCAGTGGGACACCAGTCGACGAACTGGATGGTCCTCTTGGTCTTGATGGAGGCGATGGCGGCGTTGACGTCCTTGGGGACGACGTCGCCCCGGTACAGCATGCAGCACGCCATGTACTTCCCGTGGCGAGGGTCACACTTCACCATCTGATCAAACACAAACACCTCACCAATTGTCTCAACAATCTCGTATGTCCAGACATCGAGATTAATCTTGATACTCACAAGAAAAATTATGTTAACCGAAATTATGCATTCAGATATGTTCATTATCAATAAAGCTACCGTGCCTACCTTTCACATATATCATAGTAATGAACTATACTGAATCTCAGTTTCATAGCTTATAGATAACTGTAGCCAAAGACCTGCCGGTGGGCAAGACGACTGACCTGGTTGGCGGGCTCGAAGCAGGCGTTGGTGATCTCCGCCACGGACAGCTGCTCGTGGTAGGCCTTCTCGGCGGAGATCACAGGGGCGTAAGTGGCCAGTGGGAAGTGGATGCGAGGGTAGGGCACCAGGTTGGTCTGGAATTCGGTTAAGTCCACGTTGAGGGCGCCATCAAACCTACCAGGACACAGACGAGGTGGTCAGGGGCGTGCGACAGCTGCTGAACTCATCATTTGTTTTCAACTTGAACTAAGCAAAAATATAAGCGTATTCGGCATCTTTTTAACACAAAAGGTATACTGTTTGCCAGCTTATATACGGTACCTGAGGGAAGCGGTTATGGAGGAGACAATCTGGCCAATGAGTCTGTTGAGGTTAGTGTAGGTGGGGCGCTCAATGTCCAGGTTCCTGCGACAGATGTCATAAATGGCTTCGTTATCCACCATGAATGCGCAGTCAGAGTGCTCCAACGTGGTGTGTGTCGTCAGGATGGAATTATAAGGCTCGACCACAGCTGTAGAGACCTGCATAATATGTTGGCTGAATTCCCAATATTCAGTAGGCCTATAGCTAAAAAAATATTTATCATTAAAGCTAGTGACATAAATATTCAGATAGATAAATAGGTGTTACGGTTAATTTTGATTGTGAAAACCTTCACAGACATGGAATTATAACTACAGACTGGTCCTCTGCTTGACATTCTCTGAGCAGTATAGGCCAGGGGGGCCGTGAGCGGCGCGGGACACTCACCTGCGGCGCGGGATAGATTGAGAACTCCAGTTTACTCTTCTTTCCATAGTCGACGGAGAGCCTTTCCATGAGCAAGGAGGTGAAGCCGGAGCCGGTGCCGCCGCCGAAGGAGTGGAAGATAAGGAAGCCCTGTAAGCCGGTGCACTGGTCGGCTAACTTTCTGATGCGGTCCAGCACCAGGTCGACAATCTCCTTGCCGATGGTGTAGTGACCTCGGGCGTAGTTATTGGCGGCGTCCTCCTTGCCCGTGATGAGCTGCTCCGGGTGGAACAGTTGTCTGTACGTGCCCGTCCGCACCTCATCTGTGGAGTATCACTCAATCATCCCATGTCCAACCACTTGGGCTGGACGGTAGAGCGACGGTCTCGCTTCATGCAGGTCGGCGTCCAATCCCCGATCGTCCACAAGGGGTTGGGGCACCATTCCTTACCCCCCGTCCCATCCCAAATCCTTATCCTGACCCCTTCCCAGTGCTACATAGTCATAATGGCTTGGCGCTTTCCCCCCTGATAATTCTTTCTTTTTAATCATCCCATGACACCACCCAGCCTCCTGTTTACATAGTACTTTTTGTAACTATGTGGGATATCGTACGCACACAGGCGTAATGGACAATTAGATAGTAGAATTTGGTACTATACATTTTATAGTCTGACAAAATAAAGCTAAAAAACAAATATTCCTAGGCCTAGTATAGCACATATGTACTATATTAGACCTCAGATAGGCCTAGGAACGTTAGGTTAAGTTTTCTTTACAACTTGAGTACACAAATATTTCCGCTTTGTCCAAATTCCATACTACCGATTTCTACTTTCTAATTGCCTTCTACGTCAATATGTGTACGATGGTCCTCATCGTTACTATAAGTACTCCCTAAACCTATGCCTTTCCATTGAAGACTTTCAGCGCCGTGGAGAGGGGGGGACCTGCTGCCTGGGTAACAGCTTCTCCCCCGAATCAACCTACCCTGGCTTTGCGCCCTGGTGAGGCCACTCCAGACCGACAACCAGAGCGCAACTCCATAGTCTCCTGAGACTGGTGGATGCCTACTACCTAAACAGGAGGATGGGCTGCATCACACTATCACAATACTTGTTACTTATCATTTGTGTTACTTCCTCCACCCCGACAGGGAGCTGGTCGGCCGAGCGGACAGCACGCTGGACTGTGATCCTGTGGTCCCGGGTTCGATCCCGGGCGCCGGCGAGAAACAATGGGCAGAGTTTCTTTCACCCTATGCCCCTGTTACCTAGCAGTAAATAGGTACCTGGGTGTTAGTCAGCTGTCACGGGCTGCTTCCTGGGGGTGGAGGCCTGGTCGAGGACCGGGCCGCGGGGACACTAAAGCCCCGAAATCATCTCAAGATAACCCTCAACTTAGCGAGGGTCGAGGAAAAGACAAGAAAACTGCCGCTGAAACAATCTTGTAAACAAAGAAACTTAAGTTCTTTAAAAATTTAGGACGCACTGAGAAAAATAAAAAGTATTAATAAAAAATAATGTACAGAGCAAAAACCATGTAAAAAATAAATGTTTAAGGCTGAACCATGACTATTTCAGACACAATCATCATATCACAATCATCATATCGAGGATTAGCAACAGAACAGAAAAAAATATAGATAATTTACTATTATATATACACACACACTAAAAAAATTGGGGTGGTAGGAGAAGAAAATATCAAAGTGTTCAGTGAGGATCTACAAGGTGTTCTTCGAGTACTCTTTATTTTCTTCTCCGAGGCTATGGGTCCCTACACTTGCACCAGAGGTGGTGCCCCTATAATTTAAATTTACTATTAAGTCTTGCTCTTTTTATACAGTTCCTCTTTTGCCCCAACCCGTTCTCGAACTTTCTTACAGTCAATATTGACTTATTAAATAAGTGCATATGTGACATACTAATTTATTGTGAATATTTTAGTTTACCTTGAAAAGCTTCATAGAAAACACCGACCTTACCTAACCTTCTTAGTATGTTAAGATAAGCATCTTATTGCTTCGTAATTACAATTATTACTTAACCTATACCTATAATAGGTTAAATAATAATTGTCCAGTTGCATTCTCTGGTGGTAACTTTAAGGTCCAGCAGTAATAACTTGGAAGAAAAGTAGGTGCATGAGTGTAACCGTAAGAAAGGACTGGCTAGACTTACCGACGACAGTAGGCTCAAGGTCGACGAACACGGCTCTGGGAACATGCTTGCCGGCGCCCGTCTCGCTGAAGAAAGTGTTGAAGGAGTCGTCTCCGCCGCCGATGGTCTTGTCGGACGGCATGGAGCCGTCGGGTTGGATGCCATGCTCCAGGCAGTACAGCTCCCAGCAGGCGTTGCCGATCTGAACGCCCGCCTGCCCGATGTGCACACTGATACACTCACGCTGTGGGCGAGGGAGACATGCTCATCATCTCACCACACTACAGGGCACTCATCCAAGTGTGACTTGGGTTACGGGGGAGGGGGGGGGACGACACTACTACAGAAAGGATAGTTAAAGGCTCGAACCCCACAGACCTCAAGGACAAACCATTCTCTTGACCAGACCACACACTAGAAGGTGAAGGGACGAGGACTTTAGCCACGTTATTGTGACTCATCGCCTACAAACCATTCTCTCATTATTACCAAAAATTCCATAAAAAAGTTATGCTTAGATTTAGCGCCCTGGTCACGATATTGGAACCAGCTCGGTCATGAAGCACAAGGTTTACCCCCAGATTATGATCCGGTAATTGTTTAATATTCCGGTACATACATTCCGGTTCGAAGGTCTCTCCATTTGCCTTGATGATCTTGCCAAGGTAGATTTTAAAACTTCGCAGTGTTTACGGCTCCGGTGGGTAGGCGGTTCCTTGGGTTTATAACCCTGTGGGTGAAAAAGCCTCTCCTGTCTTCAGTCCTTCATTGTGGCTTGTTGAGCTTGAAACCGTTGCTCTGTTTGTGTTACATCTGACCTTTTGAAGAAATATTCCGGATCAACATCCTCCAAATTGTTCAGTATTTTAAGTTTCAATGAAATCCACCTTGTCGTGTCTGGTTTACAGTGTTGTTAGCCCTGTGGCCCTCAACCGTTCCTGATACGAGAGATGACTTAGCTCTAGAATTACTTTTGTTGCCCGGTGTTGCACTTTCTCCAGAGCGACTACGTCCTTCTGAAGATGAGGTTTCCATGCTTGGATACAGTAATCCAAATGGGGGCGCACCAGAGATTTATACAGTCGACTCATGACCTTCTTTTTCTTAAAGTCAAAAGTAAAAGATGGGAGCTATCATGGGGAGCCCCATGACAGCTCCCATCTCCCCATGACAGCTCCCATCCCCCCCCCATTGACAACCCGAGTCTCAACAATGGCTGTGGATTATGGGGGATGGAGCTAGCGTGTGTGTGGGGGCGGGGCCGTTCCGGTCAGCTCACAGACAGTGGATATACGTCTGCCACTATTGATGTCTCGCCTTATTAATCAAGGTGGGTCTGGCACGCGACTCTTGGTAAATACCCGAGGGGAAGGCAGTGTGGATAGAGAGTCAGCACGCGACAGGGGCGAGGCTGCTGGCTTCCCACCAGACCTCAGCTCCAGTCTACAGGAGGAGAAGGAAGCGGGATGGGTCCCTTCCAGGACCAAGCCCAATGTTTCAGCCAAAAGGTGGTTGGGTTACTCACAGGAGCGAATTCCAGGGTCCAGCCTACGGCAGGGCTTTTCAAACAGGGTTGAACCACAGAATCTACACTACAGGAGGAGGAGGAGAGATGGCCGGCCTATAGTAGGAGGCATCTCCTCAGAGTTCTAAGTAAAAGAGAAGTTCTCCTCGGGGCTTGAACTCAAGGTACAGCCTACCGTACCTAAGAGGTGGTTTCCTTCAGGGCTGAAATCCAGGGTGTAGCCCTCAGGCGGAGGATCTTTACAAGGGTCTTATGTTCCAGCCAACAGGAGAGGGTCCTCCCACCCCCCATGAAATATTGCCAGGCTTTGACTATATATTTTTGTTTATTTATATATAAAAAGAGTTCTTGCATTCTTGTACAGCCACTAGTTCGCATAGCGTTTCGGGCAGGTCCTTTTTTTATCCTATTTTTTCCCCCGGAATACGACACTCCAAATCTTTTAACAACCAGGGACCCATTCACTGCTGGGTGAACAGAGGCTACAGTTAAGGATTGGTGCCCGGTCAATCCTCCCTGGCCAAAGTGCTCGCCAAGCTCCGGGCGAGTACTTTACCACTGCGCCACGGGGACTGCTAGAAAGTGTCCCCCCCCCCCTCAACTTCAGACGGGGTGGGGGCAGTGCAGCCCCCACCCCCACACACACACAAACACACACACCGTTAATGCCATGTTTATGTCCGTAGTTGAGGTAAACAATGTAGAGTTGGCAGAGGAATCTTGCAGCCGACGGAGTTGCTGGGAGGCATGACCCCCGCGATGCCGGGGGGCGCCGCCCCTCACGTCTAGTGACGGAAGGGGGAGGAGCTTGAATGGAAGGTGTGATCTTGCAGTCATGATACTCTCGTGAGCTGGCGGGGCCCTGTACAGGTTGGGGGAGGGCGCGGGGCCCTGTACAGGTTGGGGAGGGCGCGGGGCCCTGTACAGGTTGGGGGAGGGCGCGGGGCCCTGTACAGGTTGGGGGAGGGCGCGGGGCCCTGTACAGGTTGGGGGAGGGCGCGGGGCCCTGTACAGGCAGGGCGGAGTGTAACATGATAGTATGAGCAGGATAACGGCTGCAAGTTGTTCATGAAAACTGGCAGATATACAAGTTCTTCTGGGAACAACGCTGTACAAACGGAAGTGTTTTAGTGGGCTCCGCGGCCCTCCGCTGGAAGCTTCACCCTTGTCGCCCACCTTCAGTCACCCTTGACTCTCATAGGCAGAATCTTTAAATAAATAAAATATAAATACAAAGTATAATATACTCTAAGCATATAATTTTGTTTACTAGTCACACCCTCTCCCCCCGGGGTGTTCGACACCCTCTCCCCCGGGGTGATGGCCACCCCCTCCTCCAGGGGTGCAGAACACCCCTCTCCCCCCCCCGGGGTAATGGCCACCCCCTCATCCAGGGGTGTAGGACACTCCTCTCTCCCCCGGGGTGATGGCCACCCCCTCATCCAGGGGTGTAGGACACTCCTCTCTCCCCCGGGGTGATGGCCACCCCCTCCTCCAGGGGTGCAGAACACCCCTCTCCCCCCCCGGGGTAATGGCCACCCCCTCATCCAGGGGTGTAGGACACTCCTCTCTCCCCCGGGGTGATGGCCACCCCCTCCTCCAGGGGTGCAAGAGAGAGTCGACACACCAGACGACACCGAGATGGTCAGATCAGGTGCCGCCTGCCGCCACCAGCGCATGACGTGACTTACACAAGAGTCTGCAGCTGAGTTATCTAAGATGTAATTAAGAACACTCTTCCTTCGTGACAATCCAGGAAATACCTCTTCCATTCCGTGCAACAATTGGGGGCGTCAACATTGCCTTTACAGTAGACACTTTACATAAGACTTGTTGTTGTTTAAGATTCGCTTCCTGGAACAAAAAGTTCCAAGCAGCACGGGCTATGGCGAGCCCGTAGACTCGTAATATTAAGACACGGGAGGAATCAAGTGTGTTCTGTGTAATCAAGATTATCAGCAAGTGTGATCATTATACAGGAAGAAGTGTGTCCTTGCTCGAGACTGAGTGGGTGGGTGAGCGTGTCCATATTTAAGAGTGAAAAAGGTAAGGTATAGACTATGTTGATACAGAGTGCGTGGTCAGTGTAAGTGTGTGGGTGTCTCGAGTGTGTGTGAAGTGTGTCAAACACGGTAATTTGGGTGGTTAATGAGTCGTTGATGTGGGTGTAGGGTCACCTTGAGGTGGGTCGGAGTTACCTGGGGAACGGGTGGGGGGGGATAGATGGAGTTGAAGGGGTCCGGTAGGGGGGTTGGTTTCACCTGGGAGTGTAATGGAGGCTGGGATGGGGGAGGGAGGGAGGGAACTGGTCACGGGGGGGGTTTGGGTCACCCGGGGGGGGGGGGGGTGTAACCTGGAGGAGTGGTATCCAGGGATCAATAAGACGCCAAACTGTCCCATGCGGCTTACCCCCTACCCCCTTACCCTAGGGAGGGGAGCCCCCTCCCTTTGAGAACATTATCCACCACGCCCAGCTGTCAACCACCTAGGCTAGACGGTAGAGTGACGGTCTCGCTTCATGCAGGTCGGCGTTCAATCCCCGACCAGCCAAGTGGATGGGCACCATTCCTTCCCCTCCCCCATCCCATCCCAAATCCTTATCCTGACCCCCTTCCCAGTGCTAAATAGTCGAAATGGCTAGGCGCTTTCCCCCTGATAATTCATTCCTTCCTTCCCTCACTCCACAGCGTCCGTTATCCACACTGCAGATGATCTTGGCACACACGGTAGGCACTCTACAAGGCGAGGACTTGACCTCGTCCTCCGAGATTCTCCACGAATGGAAACAAGCCTCTCCGCCAGTCTCTTTATACCCCAAAAGTTTAATCAAATAACCCCATTGTACTTGCAATTATTTGTATTCAAAATAATTATTCTTCCAATTAGCTGAACGTCATTAGTTGGCAAACTCATGGGAAGAAATAATTGTATAGATAAATAACACAACATTGAGAGAATCACTAATACAAACTTCCCAGTATAGGTATACCTGGAGTATACCTGGAGTATAACTAGAGTGAGTTCTGAGTTCTACTCCAAGCCTAGCCCGCGAGCCAGGCTTGACTTATATCTTGATCCAACGGGTAATCAATCCCATTTAAAAGATTTTGTATTTCTATGGTATGCCCCTAACATGCACAAGAAAAACAAAACACGACACACAATTTACCTCAATTTAGATAATTGTGTTGATAAATTTTAAACATTGACCAAGATTATATTACCGATGACCGCAACATAGGCTAGGATCATACACATCCTAGTAATTTTGTCTAATAAATAACTAATACATATCTGAAGCAACGATGAAAGGCAACCTATTATCTGTACAACATATGAGACAATGGACAATGGTAGCTAAGGATATTATCCAGTCAGACAGTCACAATTGGGACAAACATTTGGGACATCGCTAGGAGTCTTCCGGGGAAAATATAGTCTTGAGAACATTGGTGCATTCAGCATTTAAGATATTACATATAACACCAAAAGTTTGAAACAAATAATAAGAAAGATTTTTGTAAGACCCAAATTTATTCAATCTTTAAATTGAAGCAATAATTTTATTATTAAATTTGACGAGAAATGAATGTCAACGATTTCACAGTGAAATCACAATGGCGTGTTGTATCAATGAAAATCATTTTGAAGCAATGGACTGAACTTGAATCAACGTTCTGGTGATTCCCAGACACTTGCCATAACCGACTCGGCCACGATGGGCTGAAGGCATGTGTCTGGGCATCACTAGCATGCTGATTCAAGTCACTTCATTGCCTCAAAATGATTTTCAATTCAACTATTTAATTCCAACGAGGAATTAATCAATCGTTAATTATGCTGCAAACACTAACCTAGCTTTAAAAAAATAATATATGTATAACGTTTACAAATAGTTCAGAAAAATATTTTTCAAATCCTGGACTTGGAGCGTGAAAAAGAGGCTTAATTTGGGGACAAACATGCAGCTTCGTTTGTATCTAACGATATATACAAGACTTCCTTTAGGTACATAGGGATGGCTGCAGCCTTCCCAGGGCCCAAGGAAAGGTAATAACAACCTACCCAAGGCCTAAGGAAAGGTAATTACAGCCTATCCAGGGCCTAAGGGAAGGTAACTACAGCCTATCCATGGCCTAAGAAAAATTTACTACAGTCTACCCAAGGCCCAAGGAAAGGAAACTACAGCCTACCCAAGGCCTAAGGAAAGGAAACTACAGCCTACCCAGGGCGTAAGCTAAGGTAGATACAGCCTATCTAGGGTCAAAAGAAATGTAGATACAACGTATCCAGGAACCTAAGGAAAATATGCCATGCTTTCAATGATCATACCCGGTGATAAATGGCTTTTCCCGGTGTCAAATGGTTATACCCCGTGTCACCATAAAAGAGGTTATGCACGAGCACAACCAACTCTCCTTCATATGGCCCTCACTCGTTTGCATGGGCCTAACCACAGAAACTTATTTGTCATCTCTTATGCACCCCAAAAAATGACTATATCTCCAAACTAATAATTCATTAGGAGCACAACTTCGCTGGGAATGCCATATATGACGCTGCACCAACATCCAAAAGGTCAGGCACCAGCAGGTGTGGAAGGCAGCAGGGCTGGTCAATACACATATAAGGTAAATGTCTCCCCTCGAGGCTAAGGGAGAGAGAGGCTTTCCATAATTTATAACTATAGATCTGTACTGATAGCCAATCATCCAGTGTGCTCGGACGAGCTGTAAACGTAAGCTCGAGTATGTATATTTTGTTTGGTGGGAAAAAAATAACGATAGGTTTTCCATAGAAGAATGTTTAACGAGGGTGATTGAAGGTGCTTCACTAATGTTTATAGACGGAGCCAATAATAGAGGGGAACTTACCATTGTCGCCGACCCGAGCCTCACAAAGTGTAACGATGGAACACGAGTGAGATTGCTGACATTGCTCCTCGCGCTCCACCTTTATATATACACATATACACACACACACACACACACACACGCACACACATGCATGCCAGGGGGGCGGGGCTTGCCACGAGCTGCGGACATATCGCGGCCAATCATAACGTTCGCTTTCGTTTCCGCCATAGCCAATCACATTACAGTATCTGTCCGGATGTAGCCAATCACGCTATGCAGTGATGATCTCATAATATTGACCAAGCAATGTTATTTGACGTTGGCGTTAATGTTATGCGGATTGTATTTTTTACTCAGAATTAACCGGACCTCAAATTCCATACAATTTTTATAATTAGCCTCGTGTTTTTTTTTGTTTTTAATCAATCCAGGGCCTATGTTTTTTGCTAATTATAAGTAAATATATGTAGGTAATCTTTCCTAAGTCATTCATTCGTTAAAATATTTACGAGAGAGAGAGAGAAAGAAAGACAGTCAGAGAGACAGATAGATTGACTGAGACAATGAGAGACAGAACGCCATATAAAGACAAAGACATAGAAAGTGAAAGTGTGAGACAGAAAGCTGGAGAAAGAGATATTTATAAACAAAAATGGGGGCTAGAAGGCCTGCGACACCCTCCTTCTTTTCCACCACGTATCTGGCAGCTCTCTTAAACCCCAAATGTGGAATACACAATGTGTCAACTTTGTGAAAGAGAAAACATGCACTCTCTTGAACATTATATTGTAGTGTCCCATATTGACTGACTTTCGCCCTCCTGGGCTGAGGTATGCTGAACTATGCATATACTATAGGAATACTGAGACACTTGATGATATACTGGATTTGTACCCAAGACTGACTATGCAATGCATCAGTTATACAATGTATGTGATGTAAGTAAAAGCATCTTAATCACCTTCAGTGGTTAAATGCTTAATAACACACTAGTTTCTATAGCAGCTATCTTACTCTATGAAAGTATATATATATATATATATATATATATATATATATATATATATATATATATATATATATATATATATATATATATATATATATATATATATATATATATATATATATATATGTGTATACAGGATATGTGGAAGCTGGTCAGAAATGCATTTCACCTTTGTAAACGCACATTAATGACACTATGCAAAAAGACACATCGAACACTGTTTATGTAGGACAGACGAAAATCTGTGTATCTATGTGTGTAGGTTAGATAAGCATTTTAAAAACACTACACTCACCTGTGGTTGATCACTAAATCACTGAACTATATGTTTAACAGATCTCTAACCCTGTCCACGGAGGGCAGAAGAAAAAATATATATATAGGTTAGCATTGTAAATGTATGGCCACGTCTGTGATAGAAAAAAAATCTTCCCCTCCTCCCCCCACCAAAAGAAAAAAACACAGTATTAAGCTGAGCGCATGTGGCGTCCCGGCGACCCTGGCCGTCGTCATGGTAACCGCCACACCACGCGCCCCCTCCCACAACAATTATATAATCCCCCCCCCACTGATGTTTCCTCCCCTCCTCCTTCCCCCTACGTCACCTTTATTTCCCCTCCATCTCAGACCGTTAATAGTTGGCTGAATCGTTCCCTAATTTCCGTTGAACTTATATTATGAGCAATTTTTTTGTTTTGTTTACCTTTGCGGAAACTGTCAAGAACATGAATGCGTCGATATTTATAGCCTAAATTCTCTGAACCTTATCATGCGTTCGGCCGGTTATGTATACGGATCTTCAGCGATTTATAGTTGCTACTTTTCGCAAAAATGTCAATACAATATTTTGTAAAGTTACGATGTTTGTAAGCTGGAAATGTATTAGCAATTAATATATTTATAAAATCCGTAGGGGGGCCGTGAAGAGGGTTCAAACCTATGCGGTGGGTGTTCCCACGCACACGCTCAATTATATTGTTTCCCGCAATTACGAGCGGGAGTTGTCTACTTGAAACAAAAAGTACAAATCCATTCCTTGTTGCGTTTGCCTCCGCTGTGTATGAGCGAAAAACACAACACATATGATTCACAGCTGATCTAGTTAGAAATGTTCTCGAACAGTGGTTCGCTCACTTCTTAAGGTCGCAGCTCGTCCTCCAAACAAAGCAACCCGTCCTCGACTCAAGTCCGCTACATTCAGCGGTCAACCCCACAGACGCATTCATAAATTTTAACATGCTGTTCATTCAAAACGGGAATTTTAGCAAGTATAAATTAATATTATAATATATTAGCATATTGTGTATATATAGGCATAGGTTAGGTTAGGTCAGCTGTCTAGGTTCTGTTGGCGATTATTTGTATTTGTAGTACGTGGGTGAAGCATATATAGCGTTGTGATTCGAACAAAATTCGTCAGTGAAGCACTTGTTCCGGATATGTTCGAACGTCAGCAGTTGTGAGTCGTGTGTAAACCGCTTTTCATTCATAAACAGGGGGTATGGCGGGTGTATGGAATCACTTTTGGATCTTTGTTTGGAGGACGGGCTGAACAAAGACCCAAAAGTGATTCCATGCACCCGCCAAACCCCCTGTTTATGAATGAAAAACAGTGTCCACACGACTCACAACTGCTGACGTTCCAACACTTCCGGAACAAGTGCTTCACTGACGAAGTTTGTTCGAACCACAACGCTGTAAATGCTTCACCCACGTACCACAAATACAAATAATCGCCAACGGAACCTAAACACCTAACCTAACCTAACCTATGACTATATATGCACAATATGCTAATATATTATACACAGCGTCAGGTAAGTCCACTACGGGCTCACCATAGCCCGTGCGACTTGAAATTTTTTGTTCCAAGTAGCGAATCTTAAACAACAACAACAATATATTATAATATTAATTTATATTTGAGAAAATTCCAGTTTTGAATGAACAGCATATAAAAATTTCTGAATGCGTCTGTGGGGTCGACCGCTGGATGTAATGGACTTAGAATCGAGGACGGGTTGCCCCATGCCTATACTCTACATACAATTATAATATATAGTAATATTAATTTATATTTAAGCAAGTATCTTTTATTATTTACGCATTACGTAAAAAAAAATAAGAATTCATCTTTGGGGACGGCAAAAGCATCGACGAATGTAGCCTAATGAGCTGCCATCCAAATTACGCCACAAAAGATGGGTAAATAAGAAATTGTAAGACAATTTTGATTATTTAAATACCGTTAATGCGGATGCGTGACGCGCTATCCAGGATCTAATTACCCGTTATCGTCCTGTTAACGCATCTAGAATCATCACAAACCACAAGATGACGGCGCAAATGACAGGATATAATACGATACTTGGAATTAAGCCGGGTCGAGTACCGTCAGCTGACGGGTTTTTCCTTATTTTTTCTCGTGTGTTGTGGCGGTCTGCGCACGGCTGACGACAGGAGCCTGCAGGAGCCACCACCAGCCCCGCCACCTGCTGAAGCCACCACCAGCCCCGCCACCTACAGGAGCCACCACCAGCCCCGCCACCTGCTGAAGCCACCACCAGCCCCGCCACCTGCAGGAGCCACCTACAGGAGCCACCACCAGCCCCGCCACCTGCAGGAGCCACCTACAGGAGCCACCACCAGCCCCGCCACCTGCAGGAGCCACCACCAGTCCCCGCCACCTGCAGGAGCCACCACCAGCCCCGCCACCTGCAGGAGCCACCACCAGCCCCGCCACCTACAGGAGCCACCACCAGCCCCGCCACCTGCAGGAGCCACCACCAGCCCCGCCACCTACAGGAGCCACCACCAGCCCCGCCACCTGCAGGAGCCACCACCAGCCCCGCCACCTGCAGGAGCCACCACCAGCCCCGCCACCTGCAGGAGCCACCACCAGCCCGCCACCTGCAGGAGCCACCACCAGCCCCGCCACCTGCAGGAGCCACCACCAGCCCCGCCACCTGCTGAAGCCACCACCAGCCCCGCCACCTGCAGGAGCCACCACCAGCCCCGCCACCTACAGGAGCCACCACCAGCCCCGCCACCAGCACGAGCCACCACCAGCCCCGCCACCTGCAGGAGCCACCACCAGCCCCGCCACCTCCAGGAGCCACCACCAGCCCCGCCACCTGCAGGAGCCACCACCAGCCCCGCCACCTGCAGGAGCCACCACCAGCCCCGCCACCTGCTGGAGCCACCACCAGCCCCGCCACCTGCAGGAGCCGCCACCTGCAGGAGCCACCACCAGCCCCGCCACCTACAGGAGCCACCACCTGCAGGAGCCACCACCAGCCCCGCCACCTGCAGGAGCCACCACCAGCCCCGCCACCTGCAGGAGCCACCACCAGCTCCGCCACCTACAGGAGCCACCACCTGCAGGAGCCCCCACCAGCCCGCCACCTGCAGGAGCCACCACCAGCCCGCCACCTGCAGGAGCCACCACCAGCCCCGCCACCTGCAGGAACCACCACCAGCCCCGCCACCTGCAGGAGCCCCCACCAGCCCGCCACCTGCAGGAGCCACCACCAGCCCCGCCACCTGCAGGAGCCACCACCAGCCCCGCCACCTACAGGAGACACCACCTGCAGGAGCCACCACCAGCCCCGCCACCTGCAGGAGCCACCACCAGCCCGCCACCCTCCCACAGGTAAGGGGATCGGGTGACGTAACACTGGTGCCAGAGCCACACCAACCACGCAGGAACGCGTTTAACCTGTTTTTCCTCCCCCGGTGTTGTGGAGGCAGCGGAACACTCCGCACGCTCTCCCGTGATGTTACTAGGCTTTTGTCTGGCACTACCATCATTCTGACCCGTGGCACTGCCATGACTTTGGCCCTGGCACCATCATGACTCTAGCATCACTATGTTAGCCTCTGATAGCACCTTGACTGGGTCCCCCCCCCCCCTGGCACTACCATGATTTTGACCACGCATCACCATAACTAACTTTTTTTTAATAGGCTATTTAGTTGATTTTTTTTGGCAGTGGAGACTGTGTGAGGCTATTTTGTGTGACCAGTTATTGCTTTAAGATAAAGATGAATAATCAGATCTGTCTTCGAGAATCTGTA